CAAAGTTCGAACGAAAATTGTCATAAAAAGTAATGATACTAATACGGAATTGATCTGCATGGTTTTAACCAATTAAAATTCACAGATTCGTTAATTCTATTCAGAAACGAAACACACGGAACACAAAATAAGATTACTACTAGTATTTCTTCACATTTTATATCTTCAGTATTTTTATTGGCTTTAGAAACTTAAGATAAACGGTTAAAAGAAGAGAAAGAAAGCGTTCTTATTCCGTTACTTTATTGTGTCTACACTTCTCTCATCGTAGTATATCGTAGTTACGAGTATTACTTTATCTTTTTTATAATACAGAATAATGGTAAAGATTTAATTTATCGTTATTTTAAAAATGAAGATAAAGATTTAATTTATTATTATTTTAAAAATAAAGGTAAAGCAATAAAGATAAAGTAACCGCCGTAATCGTAGTATATTAAATTATCTTTCTCTTTTTTTAAGCTCAAGTATGAAAAAAGCCACTCGCACCGCTCGATGCATCTAGATTCACTAGATACCATCTTGAGGGTGTAGGTGTGATTAAGAGTGGACGCCCATCTATCATGACGCTCTCATAGCCACACCATAATCATCATGAAAATGATGCTAATATTTGTTGTTTTAAGATTTATTTTACAATTTAGTATTTTTTGATAATATAAATTGAAATAACTATCAGAAGAATATCGAATTTATTCGTAAAATAAAATTGTATTACGATAATCTTTTTGATGTTAAAATGTGACTGATGAAATAGCTATTAGAATATCAATGAATACAATATCTGAGGAGAAAAGGTGAATAAGTATTTAATTAGATTTATTTTTGAGGAAAGAATAAAAATGATTTTGTTATGTTAAACTTGATATTTTAATTTGTCTATTTGTTTAAATAAAAGTATTTCATTATATTTTGTCACTTTGAAACTTTATAAAGAAATCTTTTGAATATTTCAATAGAATTATTTCTAATTTTTTGAAAGATTTGTGAAAGATTTTTTAAGAAGAATTATTTTTTGATTAATTAAAATATTGAAGAAAACTTTATTGTTTTGATATCATTTTTAGTTTTCATTATTCTCATTTGAACGGTTTTTTATTTTTTATATCTTCATATTTTATATTAGACGCAAAATCACGAAAATTAGATCTTGTTTTCAGTTAATACCGACATGATTTGATTATTAACAAGGCTTTGTATTATTGAAACTATTATATTAATTCAATACAAATACATTCAAATATTTTAGATTAATATCAATCAATTTTCATTGAAATATTCTATATGAACAGATGTAAAACATAAAAAAAGTTTATGAATATCTTTGTTATATCTTTTTCTTTTCTTTTTCTATAGAAATATATTTGTATGAAAAAAAAGAGAAATAAAACGTATTATTAATATCAATTAATAACATCAAAATTACGATGGTCAGAAGTCCTGTAGATAAAGGTCATAGAAAACGAAATTAATATTATTCAATAAAAGAAAAATAAGTGTCATTATATTATATATAAGAGTAATATAGAATACACATTGCAATAGAGTGAAAGAAAATGACTCATCTGTGCAACTAGCAAAGAAGAGAACGATAAAATAATGAAGCAAAAGAAGAAGAGAAAAAGAAATACTCCTCAATATTTTTTATTATTGAGTATGAGAGAACTGAGAAGAAAAAAGTTATGTAATATAATTATATCTCATTTTTCTTTTGACGTAATGTTAAATTCTTTCGTTTTTCTATATTTTAAAAAATCGTTTTATTTTTTATTATGTCTTCTGAACATCACAGTGAAAATTTATAGTCATATTTTTGCTATTTACAAAAGAGGATGGATGTGGATGTGGATGTGGGTGTGCGTGTTGGTATCGTTTCTTCGTCCCACACCTACACCACCCTCAAGAGTTTAGGATTTTATGTCACACAAAGGATATATCATTTAAAGATATATTGTATTACAAATATTAGATGAATGAATTGCTTCACCATCAATCGAATTTTCAATGATTCTTGTAAAAATATTTTGCATCTTTAAGTACAATTCAAGAATCTTGTTAATTCAATTGCAAATATCTTTGATAATTAGCTAAACATTTTAAAACAAACTTTTCGTCTTTTTTCGAAATAAATCTCGTTAAGAAAAAGACTAACCTTTTCTTATCTTTTCATTTTCAACTGATAAAAACAACTATAAGAATAAGAACACTTTCTTTATTCAATAAAAAAATTCTTTTTACAAAAAATGGTTTGTCAACGAATTATATTAGATTGTGATCCAGGTGTTGATGATTCTATAGCAATATTATTAGCATTATCATCACCAGAAGAAATCACTATTGAAGGTATAACAATTGTCATGGGTAATCATAATGATATCGATTTATTATCATCAAATGCATGTTTACTATTAGATATGTGTCAAATGAGTTCAAATATACCTATTATAAAAGGTGCTAATAAACCACTTACACATGCTTATCATGGTCATTCAGGAATAAAAGTTCATTCAGAAAATGGAATTGGAAATATAAAACATCCAATTGAATATTTAAATAAAACTCCATTAGAAAAATATTCGAATAAAAGTGCTGCACAATTTATTGTTGAACATGTTTTAAATAATCCAGGAGAAATAACATTATGTGCTATTGGACCATTAACAAATATTGCATTAGCTGTTTCAATCGGAGGACATTCATTTATTAAATCAGTTAAAAAACTTGTTATTATGGGAGGATCAATTGGTGGTCTGGGAAATAAAACAGTTGCAGCTGAAGCTAATTTAGCCAATGATCCACATGCAGGAAAAATTGTATTTGATGCATTCAGTGATATTACAATGGTTGGATTAAATTGTACAAAACAACTTCCATTAACGGATGAATTACGAGAAAAAATACGAAAATTAAATTCTATTGGACAATTTTGCTTTGATATAACAAAACATTATACAGAAATTTTACGTTCATGGAATGATCCACCATGTTTTAATGATCCAACAGCTATTATGTTTTTAATTAAACCGGATATATTTCAAGGACAACGTGCTTGTGTTGATGTTGAAGATAATGGAAGATTAACTTCTGGTCAAACTGTTGCTGACTGGAATGGAAGATGGGGAAGACCATTACAAACATTTATTTTAACAAATGTTGATAGAGATGAATTTGAAAAAGAACTTTTGAATAGATTAGCTAGATTAAATATGTTTAAACCAATATCAAATCAACAAATTAAACAAATCGAAGAACAAATTATAAATTCAGATCAATAATCAACGTCTTTTTTCAATTCTATACAATATAATTTTATCATGGAGAAACCTTTTCTATAATAAATATATTTGCTTTTTTCGATTAATGTTGCTTTTCTTATGACATATTCTCCATCTCGAGGGTGGGTGTGAATCTTTTTTCACTTTCTATACCCGCCGGTCGATCGCGTCTGCCATCTATTATGTGGGTGAGTCTAGTGGAGTTATTTTTTATCCTGTACCTTTTTTTTCTTTTCCTGTAGTATAGACGATTCATATTTTGTAGACGCAGTTTTTGTTTTTCTGCTCTGACTGAAGTTATGTGTCTGTCGTTTAAAAAATAATCGATAAACGACAGCACGTGTTTTTATGAAAGACTACAGAGAATCTATTGACTCTGAACTTGGAAAATCTCGTCCATGTTATGGAGAGTTTGAATGTTCTACTTGTCGTAGACGATGGAAAAGTACCAAAGGTTGGGCTGATTATGGTCAAGAATGTAAGAATTGTGACACACTAGTTCAGCCCTCGAAACTCTTAAAGAATTTCGTATATATTTGTTTCAAATGCCAAGTCATGTGGTATTCATGTTATTTGGCTTCTGGGTCACAGTGCAGAACTTGTCATTCATCAACAAAAATTCTTCCTTTGGATCCTGATAATTCGCAACATCAAAAAATTATTGAAAGATATAAAATACAAGCTAAGAAAACAGATAATATTGGAAAACCTAACAGTGAACATGATGTAGACTTGTGTCAAAAGTGTCAAACATTAGGACGACCTTGTCGCGAAACTGTAGACAATAATATGAAAACACCAACGGTACGTATACTAGAATTTTATTTTACAAGTAACGTTCATCGAAACTCGATTCACTTGGCCCTAGACTGTCGTGGTCTGCATGCGAATATGACTGTATTTAGATACGAATTTATTAAAAATGTTGTGCCATAATATAATAACTAAAGTTTTCAAATTATCAAAATACAATGCGTGTGTTTTTAAGCTTCTAATTATGGGTCATATTTTATTGAGATGTCCTACAGGACGCTTCGGTACATCATCGTTTTTTTCAAACATGCATGAAAAACATTTATTAATAATGATGAACGACATGCAATATAAAAATAGGCTAACATTTTCTTCAAAGCTTTATAATACTCTGTGTATACGAACGTTCCGTTTTTTTGTTATTAATATTATTTCCATCTTCTTCCATATTAGAAGTAAAACTGGCGTTGCCTTATTATTTTAGTTTATTCAATAAAATAATGATCTATACTAGACTCTATCCTTACAGTCTAGGGAATGAAATAGCGAATCTCAAAGTTACAAGTACTATTTTTTCTCGAATGATGACTTTTTTGTAAGAATTTTTTTACAAAAATTAGAGGTTATCTTTCACAAATCTAAAAATAATATTTCTTATCTGTTAATAATTCTACAGAATAAATGGCAACCAAAAAATATAAGAGGAATGGAAGAAGACAATCTAATATACAATGATCAGTCCATCAACTCTAGAAAGATTAGCTACATCAGTCCAAAACGACCGCAATACTATGAACCATCCAACAGGCGCGAGGTTAGTTGAAAAAATAACTACTTTGCTACAAATTGTTCATGTATATCATAATACTATTTTTACAGAATGAATGGCAATCAAGCAGCGTGAGGCATGTAGAGAACGTTAATACCAGATACTACAATCAACCCGTCAATTTTAATGCAATTACCGTCGTCAATCCACAACGTCAACAATATTGTGAACGATTCGGAAAACGAAAGATCCTCGCAGGATTTTCTTTATGCATCGTAATTATGCTATGTTTAGTGCTTGCTTTGCTCGCCATAAAGAATTTTGCAGCTAAAACTGTCATAACGACCACGACAACTACAACAACGACAACGACAACGACAACAACAACAACGACAACGACAACGACGACGACAACGATGGCAGCAACAGCGATCACGACAACAATCATGAGGTGGATTTCAGCTCAGATAACACGGATTGAAACATTTTGGCTTCGAATTAAGTCTGATTTCTCGATTGCAGCTTGTTTTGCTTCGGATACGATGGTCACGCTTCAAAGTGGTGTTCATATCACTGTGCGCGATCTTCATGTGGGAGATCGAGTTCGTATTAATTCCTACAAGACAAGTGAAGTTTTGGCAATTTTTCGTCATTATCGTTCTACTATTTTATTTATCGAGTTGCATTCGACTAAAAATCTAAGCAAACCACTTCGTCTGACACCAATGCATTCAATTTTTGTACGAAAACCTTATAATGCAGTTGAACAGTATCAGTTTGCTCGAGATGTTTCTGTGGGAGACTTTGTTTTTTCCGCTTCAACTCATCAAATGATAAAAGTAACTGAATTACGCGAAATTCTTCATGTTGAAGACTACGCTTATGCACCCCTGACCTTCGAAGGAACGATTGTAACTAACAATATAACCGCATCATGCTATGCAACATATCGTCATTCAATCATGCATATAATAATGACACCGATTCGATGGTGGTACTGGCTTTTGATTCAATTCGAACAAATTTATTTGCACAAACTGAGTACTGAACTTTGTGTGCATTTTGTAGACTGGTATTTGCAATTATTTTTTACTACTAGCAATTTGGTGGTTTAAGATTATTCATGAGTGTTATGCGCACTAGAAAAATAATCAATCAATCGTTTAGAAATATTGCAGAGAAAATCGACATTTATCTTCAAATCAAAATAATTCTATTGATGAGTCACAGGCATTGCTTCACTGCTTTTTAGATTTATTTTATTGACGCAATATGCTTTTATTCTGTTCTTGCATCACTTTCTTTACTTTTATTTTACTCGACTATATTATGTAAATAAAAATGCAACGTTTTTCTTTCGTAACAGCGACAGAACAGCAAAAACGACTACTGATTTATTCATTCGAAATGTGCGTTATTTCAGTAATTACATACGCTGTGTCTTTTTTTTTGTACAATCGTGAAACATAATACGTCAGCGAAAACGCCCTTCTTCCTTTCTTTTATTAGTAATCGTTGACGTTCGATACATTGCGTGGCTTCTTCATTTTTATACGTCAAATCGTCATTCATTTCTTCATATATAAATATTCCGATAACAAATACAGTCACACATAAGAAAAATTTGAATTATTATATAAATGAACTCAGAATATAGTGACGATAAATTAGTGTCCGATTACAAGAAGAAATTTGGTAAACAAGTTCAGCATGTATCTAAAGACGATGATATTCGAATTCATACTGATCGATCATTGTACGATGAACTTGATCAACGACATTTATTAAAACATCCACGACATCCTGTTGGACTTGGCTTTCATTTAATTCGAGACGGTCAACTCGGTCTAGCCATGTTGAATCAAACTCCAATGTTTCTTGCTCCTGGTCGACATACATTCTGGTCACCATTTGATCATCTTACAGGCGTTGCCAACATTACTGACAAATTGATCACACTCGGCAACATTCAGATTGTTACAATCAATCAAGGTGAACTTGGACTGAGCCGTCGTAATGGTGAAACTATCCTACTCGATCCAGGTCGATATGTGTTGATAGCACCACACACGTTCGAAAAGAGTACAGAAGCCAATGCACAATATATTGAACTAGGTACCTATCGACGAATAACTGTGCCCATAGGATATGTTGCTGTTGCATTCGATATTGGCAAACAAATTATTATTCGACCCGAAGATACAGAATCAGGTCCGTTCGAAACAAATTCACCTACTTTTCTATTTGACAAACAAACTGGCTTTCAATCTGTACAATTACAAGTGAGAGAACTCGACGAATTGAAGGTCAACACCCGTGATGGCATTACGATCACAGCCAGAGGTTTGATTACCTATCGAATTCATGATCCTCGAGCAGCATTTATGACTGTACAAGATATTCATGGTGCAGTAAAACGTGCCGCTGAAGCTACGCTTACTTCGTTGTTTCTCAATGCAGCTATTGATGAAATTGCCCCACCTGTACCGACAAAACCCAAGGAAAACGAGTTAATCAACTTGAAAATAGCAACTGAGAGTGAAAACTTTAATCAACATATTCGCCAAGCATTCATTCATGATTTCTCTCATAAAGTAAACCAGTGGGGTATCGATTTACAAGATCTTAACATTGAGAAACTCGAATTTGATAGCAGTGTTAAAGATTTACTTCGTAAACGTGCACAAGCTCGCGTTGAAACAGCCACAAGTTTATCCAATATGTGTTCTCAAACAGATATTGCTATGCAACAGGCCAATCGAGAAAAACAACAAGCTCAAATTCAAGCTGAAGCTGAAGCATTCGTAACTCGAACAAAAGCTGATGCAGACTTCTATGCAGCAGAGCGACATGCACAAGCAGCGAAGATATTGCAGGAAGTACCTCTCTCAGCTCAACTCGAACTGAAACGCCTCGATGTTGAAATGATTAAAGCAACAGGAGAACGAACAACATTTATGCCGCTGAATATGCGTATAGGAGACATCGGTATGACAGACAAACGTAGCGGACAGATGTATTGGGCGTCGAGTGATGCTACGAAGTTGTAACGGATGCTTTCATTACTATTTAAATCACTTTTTATTTCTCTTTGTCAAATCATTGTTCTATTTCTATGTGAAGCAATCAAAAAAAATATATTTATCTTTGGTAGACTCTGTTTTGGAAATTTAAATCCATCTTTTGCAACCATCTTGAGGGTGTGGATGTGTTGTTTTTATCTCACACCCACATCCTCCCTCGTAAATACTAGATTAAGAAAACAACGATATAACGTATTGGACTATTTGATTGAGGTAATATTAGAAAAAAAGAATGCAGTCGAATCTTTGAAATGTAACAAATATGTGGAAACGATCGTAAGAAGGATGTAGGTTTTTTTTGCTTATTCTTCAACGTTATGTCAACAATATCATTTTTATATGAATGGTAAAGGCATATTTAAATGTCATTTTTGTTCGTGTTTCTTTTTCTTTCTGATATGTAGGGCACCATCCGTAGTTCTTTCTTTCTGTCATTATGTACATAATACTACTTTATTTTACAGCCCACAAATTCGATAAAGGAGCAGAATTTTGTTTTCGATGGAAGAACGTCACTTAAATGGATTATGCCATTTTTGTTATAATCAAAAGCTATCAGATTCAATGTGTTCTCTAATGTTAATTTCTACTGCGCTTAAGGGTAGTGCTGTGAAAGTGCTTTTTGTTTGCAGAAATCGTATTTATTCAATTTTATAAAATTATGAAGAACAGTATTCTTCGGCAAATAAGCATAAGTGTATAAAATCGGGAGGTATATATTATGTACGGATTCAATATTAAATACGTATTTCTGTTGTAAAAATAGAAACGTACAAATATGACTAGTTCTACAAGTAATAATATTGTCATGATAAATCCAGTGGGTACGGATGCATGTAAAAATGGTTCTTCACATCGACGTGCAAGATCGATCATTCGAGAATTTAGTTTAAATACATCAACTCACGGAATCCCGGGTATTGCACGTAGTCAGAGTATACCGAATCGAATATTTTGGGCGATATCTACATTTATTTTTGCTGGTGCGATGGCTTATTTTATCACAGAATCGATTCTAGATTTCTTACAATATCCCACTCAGACATTAGTATCGGTCATAGATGACTCAAGTCAAGCTTTTCCCGCCGTTTCAATCTGTAACTATTCTCCACTTCGACAGGATTTGTTCATGAAGGATTTTTTAAACTATACCGATGGTCTCAATCTTACCAACACAACAAATTATACAATGATGGAAAAACAATCCATACTAATTCAAGATTTTTTTCAATACAAACTGAACAGGAATGAATCGATGACTGATTACTTTTTCACATTAGAAAACATGTTGATTTCATGTAAATTTAATCAACTAGATTGTTACAAAGAAGATTTTATCGCCTTCTCCGATGCACGCTATGGCAACTGCTATACGTTCAATGCCAAAGCGAGTCAAATTCGAAACGGTACTGTATATAAATTATCTGAAAACGGAGACTGGGGATTTTTAGAACTTGAATTATACGTTCACAGTCAACAGTATGTTCCGTACTGGTCTCCTGGTATGTTAAGAAATATATTTGATACATTATATCACATTTTTGTTATTGTTTTCCTTTTCCCAATTCATTTATTTTTTTAGCTATGGGAATGATCGTTCAAATTCATGATAATGAACAAATTCCTCTAATGCATTGGAAAGGACATTATTTGATACCAGGACGACGACAACGATTAACTTTCACTAGAAAAACACAGTATCGTCTGCCAAAACCTTATTCTGATTGTGATACAAAAGTTCCTTACATGTTGCAAGTTGCATTTGATCACTTTGGCAACGCCAGTTACACTTACGAACAGTATATATGTGCAACCGTTTGTATTCAAGTATATATGTAAGTATTTTTGTTTTTCTAGTTAAAAGCACTTTCATACTGAACAAAATAGAATGCTTACTATTGAAGCATGAAATCTAATAGTAGTCGATGAAGTATATCTATGTACTCGTTTCTTTTCTAGTTATACAAAGTGCGGTTGTGTTGATTCGTATGAATGGGGGGCTCGATACATTGCTGTATCAGGTACCGATCAAATAATAATTGCACCAGTATGTAGTCAAGATAATACATGCTATAAAGTGGAACTCGATCGCATAAATAATGACTACAACGTATGGATACAAAATTGTCCAATGTGTGTACTTGAATGTAAAACTACTGATTTTCTAGCAAAACTATCGTCCCTCGCCGCTCCAATGCAATGGCTTCTACATGATCTTAAACCTAAGATTGAATCTCTTTCTGTACCATTGTCTGCTAACTGGTCGAATATGTGGCAATCTGAAATCTCTCAAAATTACCTTGCATTAGAAATAGTGAGCGAGTCTGCTAGAACAGAGCTACTCAATGATACACCATCGATCAGTTCCGTGGATCTTTTGTCCAATATAGGTGGTCAAACAGGTTTATGGCTTCGAATCAGTTTTCTATCGTTGATGGAGATTGCAGAAATGGCATATCGTCTTATTCGATGTAAACTCTATAAACTCCGGAAAAGAAAATTCAAGCGTTCACTTACGTAATATCGAACTGAGACAAATCTATCTTAGTAAAAAACACTATAATTATCTCAGACATACTAATAGGTCTTGAAGGAAATTCATAAAATGCTTTTGAAAGTATCTGTTTGTAAAACACGACCTAAAAGAGAATGCGTGGATGTGGGTGAATGTAAGAATGATGAAGAGATCTACACCCACATCCACACCCACACTCAAACCCACACCCTCGTCGAGGGAGAAAACGTCGTCGGAATCATTATCCCTACGACTAACAAACTGAACAAAATCCAATGAAACAAGTCACTCACGTCTTGATTATCATCTTGAGGCTAGGTGTGACGCCTATACTCACAACCGAAGTGTGAATGCAATTGATGGTGTAGGTATCATGGAGAATAAAACCTATACCTATAACTCAGATCTGCAACCACGGCCTCACTGATACTTAGATCCACGCCTTCAAAAAATGCTTTTTTGTTCTTGTTCTCACATTCTTTCCCGGAAAAAAGCCTGTCTGCCACTGCAATTACATTCTTGTTGTCAGGACAATTTTTTTACTTCCATTCTTACATTTTTTTCCCGGAAAAATTTTCCACTCTCGTGCAAAGGAAAGGAAATCATTTCATAACTTGCCAGTAACTAGTAAGTATGATGCTGTTATTTTGTCTTTTGGAGGATATACACAAAGATTGAAGATTGATTCAGTAGAGTTTTCGACTAGTCGTGAGAGTAAGGGTGAAAAAAATAGCCTGGTATTCATACACCTCAATGTCAGTATAAAGAAAATAAACTACTTGAGGGTTTGAGTGTGCTTATAATGATTTCTTAGTCACCCACACCCTCGAGACTGTCATCACAGACGGTTACTCTTAATTGAAAGCATCTGAGTTTATATATTGAGATTTTTCGCCATCTTTTCCTGTCTACAAGCCTTAGGAACCTTGATTAAAGCTCAACAAAAGGTTGAATAGTGATTAGATATCGTGATCGAAGCTCAATGATTGCGTTTATTTTAGTTATCGTGATGAATATGTGAGTTCCATATATTAGCTCCAAGGAAGCTGTGCTTACAAGCTTTTTTTAATGTAAGTCTCAGTATTTAGATCTTCATACTTCTAGTCACATTCTACTCAAAAACAAATAACACCGTATCAGAAAGCACATATCTTTCTTAAGGACAATAATGGCTTGTGCTTCTTCATCGATCGTGTGTGCTACGTGCGAGACTCTTAATTCTGAAAAGAAACCGAAACCAGGTATTTTATTATGTATGGGCTGTCAGAAACACTTTTGTTCTCAACATATTGTACAACATCGACAGGAGTTAACGAATTTACTTGAGAATACAGTCCTGAACGAAAGAAATGTATTGCAAGAGAAAATTTCAACTTGCAACGGGCAGCAGTGGTCTGATAATATTAAAGTACAGGTAGAGATGATCAATAAATGGGAATTAGATACAACTGAACTAATTAAACAATCAGCCGCATGTGCACGTGAGCGTTTGCAGGAAATCGCTTTAAAGGAAGGTGACAACTTACAGAAGCAATTCGTGATACTATCAAGTGAAATAGATAGACTGCGGGAAAATGAAAATTATTTCGAAAATGACATTGATCAATTAATCAATAAACTTCAACAACTCCATCATGAAATAGAACATTTTCCTGTTGAACTTAGCATCGAGGAAATTTCACATGAATTGATTGTCGTCAAACCACTCACGCAATCAGTGTGTCATACTGCTGCTCCTTGTTACTTTGTTGATCTTCTGCTTACTTCACAGAAACCGAAAGTATCCATTCATCTTTTACCTAAAGCATTTGGTCCAATGTACCCAGCTAGTGATCAATTGATTGCCTTTTCTTATAAACATCAATTGCATACTTTAAATATAGCTAAAAAATCATGGAAAAGCCTGCATGGTATTAAAAAAGCTACTGAAGTACATTGGTTCAGTTCTTTCAAACAATTCTTAGTACTAAGCTGTAGTGGTTATGACTATAAACCAAATAAATTATACTTATTTAATCCATATTCCGACAGCGCTGAAGAGATTTGGGCGAAATCAGCCGATTGGACGTATGGTTCTCCTCGCAATTTTAAAACGTTAACATGTTTTAAACAGCATATTTTAATCGTTGCCGATGACAGAATTGAAAAGTGGTCACCAGCTTATTCCGATTGGTACACTAATGAGGAAGCTTCTGCTCGTTGGTCTCCGCCGATCTCATGTTATCCAGACGGTGAAATTATATGTATTCGAATGAATGATCTATATTACGCAGTTCTGATTGAAACATATGATCATCAGTCACGACCATCAGTATTTTCTTTTCAACTAAGAAGCCATGGTATGTCAACTCTTCGCTGTATAGAAATAGATTATGATAAGTCGCTTGACAAATTGCGATTGATTTCTTTACCGGATGCATCTGGTTGGTTATTCCTTGTTCGCGGAGAAAACAAAAACTGTTGTTATGTACTTGATAATGATGGAAAACGATACGATCAAAATACTGTCCTATTATCAAAGGTAATTGACATTGGTGTTCAGAATAATTTAATTTTTCTTCGAAAAAGAGTATCGAACAGTACCAATGATGTCCTTGAAATTTATGACTGGCAGAAATGAAGAAGACAAACGTAAAATGTTTCCAGAAAAGACATTTGATAAACTGAAATCTTTTAATTAACGAACAATATATAATTACGCACCCATGTTTTACACAAGTTTTTCTTATAAAACAAACATATGTAGAATGGATATGGGTGAGGGTGAGGCTGAGCGTATTTCTTCTCTTAGCTCATACACTTAAAAAATGCTTTTTTGTTCATGTTCTCACATTCTTTCCCGGAAAAAATCTGTCTGTCATTGCAATTACATTCTTGTTGTCAGGACAATTTTTTTGCTTTCATTCTTACGTTTTTTCCCAGAAAAATTTTCCATGCTCGTGCAGAGAGAAGGAAGTCATTTCATAACTCGGCAGTAAGTAGTAAGTATGGTGTTATAATTTTGTCTTTTAGCGAATATATATATAAAGATCGAAGATTGATTGAGTACTTATTAATTCAGTGAAATTTCGGGTGGGTGTGGACAAGGATCGGTGTGTCTCTTCTCTTAGATCACATCCACACCCGTTATTTAATTATTTGTTGTCAGGTTGACTTTACAAAGTTGGTGTTTGTTGGGTGTCTCATACATGCTCTCCGAAACTACAGCCTCGCACAAAAGTGTTTCGCCTCTTCATTTCTTTCCTATCATACTTTACATAAAACTTATTACCGAGTAGAGATATGACTTGAGAGTTTTATTGTATTGTGATCTGCATACCATACTGAAATAAAACTCACAAGTCATATCTCTACTCGGCAATAAATTTTATACAAAGTATGGTAGCACAGAAATAAAAGCGAAGAAAGATTTGTTCACGGGTATATCTCATATTTGCGTCTATTTTTCTATAATAGCGGTTTTTCAAAAGAATTCGAGATTTTTTGGCGGGTTTTTGCTGTTTCTTTGAAATTTTTTCGGTGCAACATGTGATTTCAATCGATTAGCTTACTGACCAGATTAGTTTACTATTTCGCAACCAATTTTCGGCACTGAACCATATCATGTCGTAAAAAATTGAATATGATGTTGGTTTTGCACTACTACATATATCAAGCTGTAATAATCCTCTTTTTTCTCATTTTTTATGCATTGAACGGGGTTGGAATTGAAATGACCTTCTCTCCCTCCTCCCCCCCCCCCCCCCCCCCATTAGAAATTCCCATGGACTTCTAATATGGTAGGGGTTTAAGAAAAGACTTAAAAATCAAGAGAAATCAGAAGAAGATCTTTATATAAGTTCCTGAATACAGGAGAAATATTATCAGGAGAAAAGTTTAAAAATCAGGAGGTTTGGCAATCTTGTGTCGGACCCTGATGAAGATTATTTAGCAATTACATTTACTCCTCTCACATTGTCTGCTTTATTGAGCATATCTTTCTTTCATACTATCACTTATATGTTTGTTTAATACTAAGGATTTTTTATTGCTAGTAGAAAAGAATTACAACAAGCAAATGTCGAGAATGTGACTGTACTTAACTAATATTTGACAACTGCTGATCAATCTCTTTATGACATTCGCCATCTTTTTTTATTCGACTCAAAATATCTTGTTGTGCCTATAATCAATCTTGATCAATCAAATCATAATTGTGGTAGATACTAGTCAACGAATGATCGACCTTGGTGTAATACAGTCAATTAACTGGCTACATGAAAAACTTCTTTCATTCATTGAAAAGTATTAGGGACGGTGTGAGAATGAGGGTGTTTGTATTTAATTTACCATTCATACTTTCAGATTCTCTTTTATTTATTTGAAAATAATGAATATTTCATGATTAATAAAAAAAATATTTTATTAATTAGTTTTCGAATCAATTATCCGATAGAACCTTTATGTTAAATTAGAATTGATTGGTTTTATACCAATATCTGCGTGCAAATCATATTCAACTAATTCAATTGTTAAAGCTCCATACTGAGCATAGGTTGGAAAAGCACCATTTTTACCCAATCCACCTCTAACAGCTACATCAATAATATGTAAACCAGGATTTAGATAAATAATGTCACTAAATGAACAGTCTATCTTTGTCGGTGAACTTGTATACCAATAAAAACCACCAAAGTAATCAATATGATCATTTGAACTATATCCGGTATTATATTGATATCGATTAGCTGTATTTGGTAGAAACTTATTTACATAAAGCAAATTTTCATTAATCATAAAACGTAAATGTAACCAAGTTGCTTTAGAATGAGGTGAATGACATCGACCTTCAAATTTAATTTTATATAGCAATGGTTCTGTATGATAGAAAGGCATTGTTAAACCAGGTACTTTCACAAAAGTTTCGGATGGACCTTGAATCGTAAAAATTTCTGGGAGTTGCTGTTTGATATAATATTTTTCAGATCGAATAAAATTATTATACACTCGATTTGAAGGAATTTGAATTGTATTCATTGGTAAAATTGGATTTCCATTACATTTTGAAATTAAAAACATAAATAGAAAGTAACAATACATTTCAACTGTATTCTTCATCGTAATAGGTTTTATTATCGAGTAATAACCATACCCCTACCTATTTATACATTTGGTAATTTATATTTATTTTTCGATAAAATTCTTATCGTGGAGCATAATAAATATTAAGAAAAGTAAAGAAACACCTCTCCTATGCTTTATCTCTTATAATATTTCCAATTTAACACTTTGTAAGAGTAAGGTGTGAGTGTTGATGAGAAGAAATGGTAAACACTTAAACCCATATCTATCCTCAGAATACAGACACACACACCCTCGCTACTACCGGAGGGAAAATGAATGACTTTTTTTCTCAACGGGTTCCATTTTTTGATGTTGGACAAGAAGCATAAGATCTTTGCTACTTTGTTTTGATTCACTTTTTTCTGTTTTATATCAACAAGATTTTTTCTTTGCGCAAGTAAAAGAGACTACTCATTCTGCAAATAAAAGATATGAATGGCAAGAGAAGAGCACAGGGGTAGCTATTATCAAAGAAGAAAAACATTACAACAGCAAGAATCTTTCGGAGAATGATGAAGCATTACTCATTAGTGAACTGTTGAGTCGCTCTGAAGGGTGTGGGTGTGAATGGGTGTATCGGAGAACGTGTGAGAGTATAAGTATGAATTTATGTACTGTCTTGATCATTCATCTACCATCATGCCATTATTTTGACTTGTGTTCAATAAATTACCCAGAAAAATTGGAATGTTTTACTTAGTTTTCATTTAAAACTACTTAGCGCTTAAATAGATGCTTATTATTTATATTCGTTCGATTACTTCTAGCCAGTATGAATATTAGGTTTGACTTATATGTATCATGCATGATTCACATTAAAAAGAGCGAATTTTTCATGATGGTTATCTTTCTGAAATAGTATATTCAATCATGTCTAATTATTATACGGTCACAATATTTCATCACAAGAGTATATTACACTGTCGCCCTCTTTTGTTACATATTGAAATAAAATCTATCGTAGTTGGTTACTAAGTAATGACACAGCGCCGTTCGATGTTCGTTCTGCACGTATGGATGACTAATCAAATACTCACCCTCCTTTTGTACAATACTTAGCATAAGTTTTCTTATTCACTATTGTATGATGTCATATTCAAATATTCCTTATGAAATTATAACGCAAAAAGAAAGAATGTATCTGAAAATCAATGTATAAATACTCGAGCACTTCTTTCACTACATTGTATTGCTAAGATAAGTCTTCACTAAACAACGAATCACGATAAACTATACAGAATAATGACAAACAAGGATGAACTAGTGCAACTAGCAAGATTAGCTGAACAAGCTGAACGGTACAGTATTGGTTCTCATAGTAAATATACCGTTAGTGCTTGTCGATCATCTTGGCGAATTATATCAGGCATTGAACAGGAAGTCAAAGAGAAATAACTAAGAAATATCGAGAAAAGATTGAAAACAAATTGAAAGATATATGTCAAGAACTTTTCGTATGACTTTATTCATATAAGGATCGTTTTTAGAAATGAAGTTTATCAATTTAGACGTTACTTGATAAATATCTCATTCCAAAAGCAACAACTGCTGAATCGAAGATAGTCTATCTAGAGATGAAAGGTGATTACTATCGATATTTGACTGAAATTACCGTCGGCAGTGAACAGCAAAGTAATATAGTCAATGCTCTACTCGAACACGAATATTTACATTGATATTAATTATAGAATTCGTTGACGAATTGGAACTTGCCTATAAGAATGTCTTTGATATGGCCAAGAATCAAATGTTAGTAGCACATCTAATTTGACTTGGTCTTGCTCTAAATTTCTCAGCCTTTTATTAAGCAATTCTCAATGATGCAGATACTGCTTGTCGTACAGCCAACCAAGTTTGTTCAATTTGATCTATTTCATTTCGTTACACATTTGAATACTTATATAATAGGCCTTCGACAATGCTCTGACTGGATTAGATTCTATTGATGATGATTCTTATAGAGGTAAGAGGAAAATTAATAGTAAAATCAATATTTCTTCCATTCATTTTCAGACAGCAATATAATAGTGGTAAATTGCAATCTTTTTGTCTGTATTATCATACACTTGTAATTATCTAATCTAACAATAAAAAACATTTTCTGTATCACTTTTTCATTAATATCAACATTAACAAAATAAAAACAATAGATTTTCGAAAAAGTTTCAAATCATCTTCACTCTTAAGATGACAAAACCAACAAAGAAACATATATTTACAAAAGAATAAATGAGTCAGATTTATTTTGAGTAGCGACATTAGCATTATTAAAATAACCATGCATTTGATAGAGATAACGATCAATAAAGTTAAATTCCCATTCGTTTCTATCTTTGTACTATTCAAATTCAGCATATTTGTGATATTGGTTCATTTTTTACAGTTTTTTCTTCTCGTTCAAATCGTATATAACTAATTTTTATAACATGTTTTAAAAATAAAATAATGTAATGAAAAAGAAAGATACTCTTACAAGAAATTCACAGTTTTCTACCAAAGAACGATACAAAATGTACATCCTTATATCTTTCCCATAAATACACTCTAAAAAGAAAATTTTGTTATCATCTTGAGGGTAATACATTGATTTTGCAACTCACTCCTATAAAAAAAATTATTTTTATTATTTGGATTTGATTCAATATCTAATAAATAAATAAAATGTGGAATAAATATCATAAAAATCTTATTTTATCTATATTGAATTTATTATCAAAGTGAAGTTGTTATTGGCCACAACTAATAAAAGAGAAAAAAATAAGATTTTAATCATACTTACTCCACATCCCATTTATTTCTTAGATAATTATTTTTAGTTTTTCTTCTGTCACATGTATCCTTTTATAAGACTATTACATGTTAAAACTTTATTTATTTTTTAATAAATATGAGTGTTTTTAATCAAGAGTATATTTTTTCAGATATTACTTCCTCGTTGAGTGACATTTCATTAAATTTTTTTAGATGCATCCAGACAGCGGAAAAGAAGAGTGACAGGATATATCTGATATTCATTATTTTATTGCAATTTAGAAATGAAATTCCCATTCACGTCATCATTAAAACACTTCTTTTTTTTTTCTTTTCTTACAACATATTCAACTGGCATTAACAACAGAGGAGTAGATCATTAGAAAACATTACAACTTCTCGGTTGGTTGTCATGTCGTCTATCAGAATTTATCTCTTTTATATTTTCATCCATACTGTATTAACGTACACGAAAGTACCTTATGATTATGATCTTTATGGAATTAAAATTGGCATAAATGATCGATTTTTAGTTTGTGTTGACAATTTGTTCTTAGTATGGTACGTCGAACTATTTCCACATAGTAGCATTTCTAGTTGTCAAATTCCATATAATTTGACAACATGTGATTTTGTCTACAGTGTTGTTGTTCCAAGAACAAATAATATTTCGTTCGTCTACAATTGTATTGATATTCAAGGAAATAATGTTATTGGTGTTTTTACTAGCAATGGTACTTGTGAATCATTTCAATTGAACGATGAACAAATTGTATCTAACTATTCAACACAAGATAATTTTCTCATTGCTATCGATGGACAAGGTACGGGTGTGTATAGTATTGCTGATGATTTTGTATGTTTTTATCAATTATATCCAACATTTGAATTGTTCGTTTGGCCAAATACAATTGGTATTTCTCCTCGAGGAATGCATATCGGTTCAAATCAAGATTATGCTGTTGTAGCTGGATATTGTCAATCAACACCATCATCTGCTGTCGAATGTGGTTTTTATATTCGATTAAATACATCCTTATCGTCTCCGTACAGTATAAGCAAATTTAATATTGCAGGTGTCTTGTATTATCCATGGAGTGATCCCCGTGTCATTCGTTACATGGCTAATAGTCAAACTTATACAGCACAATCAGTCATGTCAGTGAGTATTTGTTGGAATACTCAACAGGTACTTATTGGTATTCAGTCATTAAATACAGTTTTATTGTATTCGTTAAATGATACTCACAATCCAATTAGTACTCGTCAGAATGGAGTGGGATATATGGGCTTTGGGAAAAGTGTTGCATGGCTAGATGACACAGGTGAAAAAGCAGTGATTCTAGCCAATACTTATATATATTCAACATATGAATGGATTTCATCAGCAGTGCATATCTATAATATTGAATCAGATGGATTCTCTGATTCAACGCAACCGATTCTTGTCTATCCAAATAGTCAACAAGTTCTTTTACAAATGATGGCTGAATCTTTAATTCGTCTCAGTTGTTCACCTGCTGGTAATTTAGGTATTTTAGATAGTTTGAGCAATGGTGTTGGTATTCTTGTCGCACCTCCAGGTTACTATCCAAATACAAACATAGATGTATATGCAACCAATTCTATTCCTTGTAATCGTGGTACAAATCGAACTTATGCTGGAATTGAATTATGTTCTCCTTATTCATCATCATCAATGAACTGTTCAGAAGATTCATTCTGTCCATATGGAGCTGTTGGTGAAGTTTTATATTCTGCATTTGAAACCATTGAGCAAATTCAAGAATATCCTGAATCACCTGAAAATACTGTTTTTGATGATATACTTATGCAAAATATGTTCGCATTCAACGTGAACTCAGTGCATTGTTTGCTCGTCTCACCTCTTGTTTGGGTGGTTCTCGTCATGTTAATTGGCTTATCTGTAGCGCTTTTCCTGACAATTTCCGAAGCATTGTATCCTGAGCACCATTCAATGCAAGATAATGTCAAGAAAGTATTTAGAAAAATTGATCTCATCGGTGAAGGAGAGGTATTGTTTCATTGAATTGTTGAAATTTGTTGAAAATATATTTCTTGTCTAGATGTGGATCGGTGGTCTGATCTCAGCTGCAATAATTGTACTTGTTGTGTCAGCATATAGTTTTTCGAATTCTTTTCTTCGACAATATCCAATTGAAGATATTACTCACAATAGTTCTTTTGCATGTGATGTTACTTTACGCAATGCAAAATTTAGTACAACAACACAACAGAGATGGGATCCTCGTCGTTCAACAAAAGAAAGTCAAACAATGTTTGATTTATTAAATGCACAACTATTTACACTTAATATTGATCTTGTTCAAACAGCATTTACTTGTGATGATCAACTCTACGTACAACGTTTTGATGGTTATGAAACCACTATTATACCAATTACTAAATGTCAAACAAAGTACAATGATACCACTCTCAGCTTGACTATTTTACTACCAGCTCAAGTGATTAGTGTCCGATTGGTTTTGCCAGGATTAAATACAGTTGGAGCCATTCGAATTGGCTTAAGTGGACCTGCAGCAGAAGCTGAAGATGGAAGGTATGTTTCTTCATTCAAAAAAAATACTGATTGTTTTATTTTCTTTAATTGAAAAGATTCACATTGATGGCTCTGAATTTTGCTTCGACATTTGTCTCATCATCACTTGATCAAGTTCTTGCTGAATCAATGACATTTCCTATTGAATTAACTGAAATTGTTAATCAAACAGATCCATTAAATAGTAATGACGTATCTAAATTTAGTGGTATTTGGTCATCATCATTAACTGTTAATTCAGCTCAACTCTTTACTAATGAGAGTCAATATACATTCTTGTATCGAACAACGACAAATATTAGTATTACAATTGAACAAAATATATTTTATATTGGTAATTTACAACAACCTATCGCGAGACAAACTGAAGTTATCTTTCGTAGTCTTCTTTTCACAATTGTGGTGTTAGAAGTGTTTGGTTTAATCTTTCTTCTCATCAAATTATTGTTCATGCCAGTGTTTCGTACAATACACGAACGTTTACGCCAAAGATCGCCAAAAATTCATGACAGTGAAATAGACGATATATCCAAAATAAAGGCGGAAAACGATATTATAACAAAAGTCATTCATGAAAATGATCAAAATTTTATCAAGAGAAAATGTCATCGCAGATGGTCAACAACGGCGATTGCTAGGAAGCCGTGTCACGACTAGATCGAATTATATGACAGACAAACATATTTTCTTTATTTCTTATTGTATCTTACAGAGAAAAAAAGATTTTTTTCAAATTAAAAATAAATGTTCTTCTATAATTAATAAAGGGATGGATATGGCTAACTACTTTATGTCCTTGAAATCATTAAATTGTTTTGCTATTTCTTCAGTAAGAAAAGAATGAAAAAAAATCATCGACAGAAGAAAAGACATTCTGTTGTGCTTTGAGAATCAAAACTAAACAAAACAATCGAACTTTTTTTTGTCACTGTTCTTTTACAAAGAAAGAAAAAATGACACTGTGAAAAAACATAAGTTTTACATTTTAAACTTATATTTCTCTTTCGTACGCTACAAATTTTTTTGAAATTCTGGTCTTGGTACGTTTTGTGGAAAAAAAACTTTTTATTCTATTTTCATATCGTACCGAGTGAGACATCTTATTAAAAACAAACAAGATTTTATGTTTTAAAAATGTGTATTTTTTACACATAAATATACTGATTATTTTCAAGTGTAAAGAGAGGGTGGATGGGTGTGGGTGAAGAGTAAGAGAAAATGCCCAGATCAACACAGTTCTGAAGCGATAAACATAAGAATGATTTATAAAGGCGTTACAAAATAGAAAAGCGAAAGCAATCTCTTTGTAAATATCCAGAGCAGCTACGTCATGATTTATATCTTTATTTCGTAGGGATTGTATTGTCAAGCTTTTTTATTTTTAATTATATTACAAGGAGTAATTACATGTAATTCACTTGCATTTTATTTTATTTTGTAAATATCTGTTCCACAATGAATCTAGGATGATTATCTTCCATTATAATGCTGCCAACATCTCGCTCATCTTCCAGATCACGCACTCCTTCGTCTTTGAGTTTTCTGTTTGAACCCTTCCGGTTAGAATAATTGATAAAACCTTGCAGCAGTCTCATTTTTTCTTTCGGAATACCAATGAGCGGTTCGAGACGCGCCTTCAACTCGCCGATTGTTTCCATGTGAGAGATCTGCATCGTGATCTCTTTGTCTCTGGAGAGTTCAAAAGTCGCTTGCATGGACACTGATAATAACGACAGAGAATAAGATAAAATAATATATCTTTTTATAATCTGAAATGAACTCTGCAATGATATACTTGCTACGAGAAATTTGCTAGAGTTTTTGCATCCGAAAACAAAACTAGAGTGTGGGTGGTGCAAGTATGAATATTATATTCTCTTACCAACACCCTATCTCATACGGAGTTGGACGAGTTCTAGGTGTTTTGTATATATAAATATCTCATTAAATTTGTATGCAATGTGTCTACATCTATTCTTCTCTACATTCAAATCTTAATTGATTCTACCTATTCTGCCACTCAAATAAAATCTGTTATTACGCAAGAAACAAACTTTACTTACTTCTAAAGTCTAACAAGGATTGATTGTCATAAATGTGTGTCCTGTGAAAAGAAACTGACAACAAAGATTAACTATTCACAAATATACATCATACGAATTTGTATTTTTCTTTTATTCTCATTCTATAAAAATCTATTGCGTCAATATTATTACTGCTCGTCTCTATGTAATTTCATCGTTTCTTTCAGGTGAATCTTAACAGCCACTGATGTCTCAAATAACACGTTTGCAGAAATATGATGATTATACTCTCATTGGCAAAGATGGCCTCGTTGACGGTAGATAAATATATATAGTTGTTTATTGTTCATTCGTTCACTCGGTTAAATGAAGTACGAAAAATCGGTCATACTCTGATCGGAATAATCGAGCCAACAACGATCGTTGGTGGTATTTTTTTACCATTGCATGTAAATGATGTACTTCTCCTATCGTTGATCGACGCGGATTGAGAATAATATCCCTATACTCGGTATAAAACATTATTCTCTTTCTTCTTCTGCGTCAAACATGTGGTAGTAAAAACACAAATCCTTGACGGCGCATACACATTTTGTTCTTATTCTTCGCACGTTTTTTTTCTCGTTATCTATACACGACACTGCATTTGAGAAGAGCAAATAGAAGCCAAAGAAGAAAAAAAATCACAAATCGTTGGTTAGAAACGTTTCTTGTCGCTCTTTAAATGTCCGCAGAAATCGTCGACGAAGATGACGATTACATCTTCGAAATCCTACAAGAACATCACTTGCCCGCCTGTGCTGCTCTTCTTGCCGATTCCTTCACCAAACGGAATCCGATGAATCTTTATCTTCACACAACTTATGATCAATTCTATCCATTTACCCTATTGCGTTCGAATTGCATTCTAAAAGATCGCCTTTCACTCGTAGCCATACATAAACAGAGCAGGGAACTCCATGGTTGCATGCAAGCAAGTGATGCTAAGACATTGAAAGAACATCCTCCTAGTTTAACAATCGACAATCTCAGTGGCTTCGAACTGGTACAGCCTGTCAACGATCTATTGACCGAACTAGAAGACAAATACTTCTCCGAATATCACAAGATCTATGGCGAAGAATTGAAAGAAAAATGCGTCGTACAGATGCTACTCGGTGCGACTCGTGTTGAACACGAAGGACATGGTGAGTAAATATATTCCGTAGTTATAATTGTTTCAAATCGAAATAGACCTGTTCTTTGTTAGGTCTCGGAACCAAACTACGTCGCTTGACACTGGAGCACGCCCGTCAACAAGGCTTCAAACATGCTATTGTAGAATTGTCCAATCCAGCGACACACCATATATACACGAAGAAGTTGGGTGGCAAAGAATTTGCATCGGTTTACGCGCCTACTTGGATTTGGAAGAAAGATGGTCACGAGTCGTTCCCATTCGAACACTTTACGCGGAACATGGCATTAATCATTATCGATCTTTAGAAGGCCTACAACAAAAAATGTCACCCGTGATTCTTTGATAAGAAATTTTGTTGTTGAGCAACAATGTAGTTAAGAAAATAAATAAATAACTATGCAAATTACAGATTTTATTTAACTATGTATTTCGAACAGAAAAAAGGGATCGACACCCACCCACCTTCTTGATATTTTTAGTTAATTAGTTTATTTGTTACACTAGGAAGACACGTACAATTGAATATACATCAAATTTTGAAATTTTTAAGTGTTCTTGTCATACTCTCCTAGTTTCTAAATGTGATATTATTGATTAGTAATGCTATTTCCAACGAACGGTCATTTTTTGTGACAATGTTGTTCTTTTGTGAGTATGTACCACGGATGTTGTAAACCGGTCGGAGGATAATATTCATGATGCACATATTTAAATTCAAGTTGTTCGATAAGTCGATGCGAAGCCTCGTTTATTGGATGATGACCAGCAATAATTTTCCTAATATTTGAATTACAAAATATATATGATATTGCAGCGTCTGCGGCTTCTCGAGCAAATCCTTGTTTCCAAAATTGTGGTAGAAGATGGAAGCCAAGCTCATATGTGTCCGTCTCTTTATTGTATGGACGAAACCCACAACATCCGATGTGTTCACCAGTTTCTAGAAAAAATATAGGCCAATACTGAATATTATACGTGTTCATATTTTGAATTTCTCTTGATAAGCGTTCTTGTATCTGTTCAACATTGAATGGGCCACCAATCAACTTTGTAACAGCAGTATTACCCCAAAGATTTGAAGCCAAATGAAAATCATCTTCAGTCCATAAACGAAAACCAACACGTTTAGTTTGTAAAAAATATTTTGAATTATTTAATGATTGTGTTGAGTCCATTTGATAGATCGTACGCTTGATTTTTATTTCAAAAAACGACTAGAAATTGATGCATTTCATATACCTTGTAATGTATAAACTAAAACAAAGTATGTTCGTTCCTGTCGACATACAAGCCAGCCCATTGCTTGCTATCTCTCCGCTACTCATGTAAAAAAACCACCTAAGAATTGAGTTAAAATCTATTTAGTATAACTGTATCAGGTTAAATTGGAGAAAAAAAATCGATTTTCTCATTTCATATGATTTTACTTTTAATCTATTAACATCGATTGTTTCCTAATAAAAGCAAACGAACCGATTATAATCAGACATTTTGTTCGTTTTCGTTTACATAGAATAGTAATGAAATGTCCTCTTGAGTCTAATTTTTACAGATTATTAATAAAAAAATATTTCAAACTTACTACTCACCTGAAAACAGAGCGATGAAAAAATTTGTAATATATATTACTTATTCGAAACTTCACAATCTTTTATATATGTTGACAATGAAAATGATATCACAAGATTACTCTTTCTTTTCTATTATCTATTCTATGTTTATAAAATAACGTGTTTCTTTTCATCTATTGACTTACAAAACTTTCCTAGTCAAACGAACAAGTTTGTGATATAGGTGATACTTTGCTTATTCGGATGGAGATATTCAATTCATATGACAGTGAAAGGTGGATGTGAGTGTGCGTGCTATGTCCATCACAGAATCACACCCATCCCACAATCAAATGCACACCTACTCCTCACCCATACCCTCACACAAAAGGATAGTGGCATATAAAGTACTATGAGTTAGGAAATAAATAGCATTGTTCTCCGTTAAAATACACCCTTGCCTGATATATGATGTCATAAGACTTAAGGAAAAAAGTGAGAGAAAATACTTTCATAAAATAGAATGAATACTGACGTATAAAGTGACATATGTTGGGAAAAAAGAAAATGATAAGTTTTTCTCCAGTTTTAATATATATGTAGACACACATATCCTTGTCAGTGAGGAAAAAACAGAGAGAGCAAATACTTTCTCCGATTTTCTTACTTAAATGTTCATATATTATCTAGAAGGCTTCTACATTGAGCGTCATTTTCTTTAATTTTTATGTCATTTGCTGTTTTTTTCATTTGTGCTTATGAAAGATCATTAATTACAACGATGTATATGCATTATTATCATATGAAATGAGGGCGTTTTCTTTTTTTAAGTAGAAAAATGTTTTGTTTTAAAGGTAACATATAATCTTTATTGTTTCAGATAGTTTTTATATAATATCGAAGTAATTGTATTTTATAAAAGAGAAATTCTGTCCAGTGAAACTATTTTTATATCATCTTTTTTCGAATATTTTTTTAGATTCAATTTCATAACATTGAAAAGCTTTGACAAAGCTTTATGAATGAATAAAAGCAACAGAATACATGTTTGTGATATAATTTATTATCGAAAAAAGAAAAACTAACTCGTTTTGTTTTTCTTTACTTTGTAGCCTCAGTCATTTAAGATCGATATAGGTGAAACACAGCCTACACAATCGACAAGAATGTATGTGTATTCTGAGTTTGAATAAATTTAAAAAAAAACGTTATTTTAGATGTGTATGCATTCGAAGTAAATTTACGTGGATCATATTTGTTATTGTGATAATAGCGATTATTATTATCCCAACAACTGTTATTCTCACAAAAAAGGAAAACGTTGTTGAAATAAATTCAACAACAATAATGATGACAACAATAGCAAAAGCATCAATAGCATTGATGTTAACAACAACAACTACAGAACCATCAACAACAACTACCACAGAATCATCAACAACTACTACAGAACCATTATCAACGTTTATAACAACAGCAGAACCTGGATCGACAACAACAGAAGCAGGTATGTCTGTATTCAAAGAGAGGTAGAAAGGAGTTGATCGATTACTTACAATAACTTATAACAGGCTATTTAATGAAAAACATCGATCATATATTATTAGCTAATTCTTACTTGTCTAATGTGATTGAGATGTCAGATATTTCATTATTTTTATTATTCTTTATAAGAAAGAATAAATATAAAAACTCTTTATCTTTATAAAACAAAGAAATTTATTGTATAGGAAATCCTGTTTTCTCAGGTTTTCTTCTATGTAACTTACAAAAACAGTCAGATATTATAGATACAAATAAAATATTTGAAAAAGTTTTTTTCATATATTTTTTCAACCATCGCCTTTATTTTTTTATGATATTACATGAAGATGTGAGGGTGATGATAAGAAAGAATATCGATTAATATATATTCTATTGTTATGCTAAGGATTTGTCTCATTATCTACTATAGAAAGACTTTTTTGAAAACATTTTCTCTTAGGAGCAGCGATTGTGTTCAAATAAACTATTTTTTGTGTGTTTGTTCCGCAGCGCGATCTAGACAAATAGGAGATTTTTTTAAACTTCCCTCTATTTTTATATGTTTTGATTTATTTTTTAGATCTTATCTCACTTGATAGTACTGATAGAGGTGTCTATGCCATATATCAGACAAAGATAAGCAAGAATAGTCAAAGGTCAGCAGTTGGTAACCTGTATGGTAGCTATCCTCCAGACCAGTCACCAGACAATGCATGCGATGGTAATCATCTCACAAAGTATTTAAACTTTGGAATGTGTTTTGAAGATAGCCATGAAGTTCAATGTGGTTTGGATACTGGTTTTTTTCTGGAGTTGAAGCGGGGTGCATCATTAGTTACAGGTTTACAAATCTGCACAGCCGAAGATTATGCAACGCGTGATCCACTTACGATATCATTGGAAGGAAGCAATGAACCGTATCCAACTCTCATTCTTGGCCCGAGCTGGACTCTGATCTACAATGGGCCTAGTGGTCTTCAGAAAGATCCTGGTAGACTCACCTGTGGAATTGTGCAGCTGGTCAACAATTCAGCTCAGTATAAAAGTTATCGGTTTCTTGTTTCAGGCAAGCGGAATATCTCGAACAGTGTTCAGTATTCTGAATTAAAGCTATTTGGACACTGATCTTTGGCTTTATCATGACTTTCAGCTATGATACGTCTTTTGCTTTCATTTATTCTCTTAAGTTATACACATATTCTTGAATCATTTTTATATAATTAAATTATATTGTTTTTTCTTGATCCCCTCAGTATATATATGCTTTGAGCTTTGCATGCATGTTCATTCTAATTCATTTGAAATAAATGGATAATCTTTACAGACTTGGTTTCATTTTATAAATTTATATAAAAACATAGTTCTTTTTTTTTATTTATTTAGGCAGAACAAGACTGACGACGTTAAAGATCCTTACAGTACACGATTGAGTTAGAAGAGAGAGAAAAAAAAATATATGTAGATATGAGAAGAGTAACATTAGACAGAAAAAAAGAGATAAGAAAAAAAACAGATCAAGACAAAGAGGAGAGAAACAAAAATATGAAATAGATATTTACATTATTTGTTACAACAACAGTATCAAGATCAAAAGAGGAAGAAGACCAGAGAAAGGAAAAAAGAAAAAACTTCGGAACGATTCGGGGAAATCAGCCAGAGTCATGACATCGTCAATATCATAATTCATAATTGATGGTTGAATGATTGAGGGGAATACTTGCGCACCACGTAGCGCATTTTTTAATAACAGAGGTGTAGCCGATGAATCTTTTAGTTCTGTGTGCACCTTTAACTGGATATTTATTCTTAAGCCACTGCTCACGAAAGAAATTGACGTTAGCTGATTCAAAAATCAGTCTATCATCAGCTGTATAAGCCCAGGCTTCAAATCTTGAAATATTTTTAATGAATTCTCTTATTATTTTCTGAAAAAAGTAAAGTCATCAGATGAAAATACTGGAAAACTCTAAGATGATCATTAAACGAAATATTTTGATGATTATTCAAAGTTTTCTGTATACATATAAGCATGTTATAGTATAAACGACTCTGAATAAAGTAGTGTTTTTCTACTTGAACTATGTTTTAGGGTGCAAAATAATTAATTGTACAACTACATACTATTAGATGAATTGGCTCCAATATCGTTTTGTATCTATATTGTAGTTACATCCATATCATTGTTATCTAAAATATAGATGATAGTGACAAAGATAACTATCAACAGAATGATGTACCTATCAGAACAGATGATTCATCGTTGGCAGCAGTCTTAAGATATGAAGTAACGTATTTTTCTATTAATTTTTGCTTGAATAAGGTAACATCAATTGTATCGACTACACAATTTTGCTCTGTATGGCATTGACATGGTTGAACAGAAATATTTACATGGGCCTTTTCGACCCAAGTGGGTAAAGCAAAATTAATTGATTCAGTCCAACTGACATCTTCTGTGTAACTTTGTGCGAGAGTTTCGGCAGATAAAATTATGAACTCATTCGGATGCTGAATGGAAGAATTCTGTTGACCAACTAATTTTTGTAGCGCTTCTCGTTGATCAGCTGGAATGATATACGAATGACGAATACCGCCTTCATAATGATAATCAATGGAAAAGAGGCGTTGCCGAGCATAGAATAACGGAAAAATAGCACTCGGTCCATGTGCTATTTTCACACATGGAACAAATTGATCTGTTGATTTTTTTCCACCTAATTTAAGGAGTGACTGATTAGGTATACGATGAAGATCAAAATAAATAGAAGATTGTTTTTGAAGAAAGAAACTCGTGTCAGGTGAAAGTGAGATATTTAGATCTCGTTATTCTTTATTTGACGTAGATAATGATGACCCAAAACTATATTCATCTGTTGCCATTAAATGTTTTTGAGTAGATTCATTAATATGATTGATTGTTTGAGTAGAATGAATATTAACATTTTCATTTATTTTAACAATTTTTTTTATAGTTGGATGTAATAGAAAATTTTTTTGTCGTTTCTTTAAATCTAATTTACAATCAATATTTGGTTGAACTTTAATTGCATCAAATTGTTTTAAAAGTTTTTCATGTTTATAAATAAAACGAACAAAATTTTGTAAACCATTTTCATTAATTCGTAGAGTTGGAATATCAATCGAAGTTGTCGACATGTTCAAATTAATAATTTTTCCTTAAAATAAATATATTTTCAATATCTCAACTAATAAAATATCTGTCTATCATACAAATAAAAATTTAAACAACAGTCATAGATAGCAGTATTTCAAACATCACTACTAAAACGAAGGTTCTATTCATAGAAATTTAACTATTTTTCGTCGACTTCAACTGATGAAAGACAGAGTTATCTGATCCGTTTGATTTTATCAAGTTAAACTGATATTGTCATTAATCTGATCCTATACAGCATCTGAATATCTTTAATTACTTCGAGTATTTCTTTTTATAAATTTGTCATAAAACTAATCGAAAATAATAAAAATAGAAAAATAAAAGAAAATCTAAAAAGGAATAATTATGAATTTGTAAAGAATTTATTAAAGAAAGTATCTACTGAATATAAGAAGATTTGCTTTCTCGTAGTCTTTAAGTAATTATCTAAGAAATAAAAAATCATATTTACCTTATTATATATTGATATCAATTTCACATAAAATTTTTCTTATAATGATAAATTTATTTTACTCTTTAATTGTTCGAATGTTCCAATAAAAATCTTCAGATGCGATTAATGAATAATTCGATAGATCAAAGTTGTTTTACTTTATATTGAAAACAGTCTTCTATAAATCACGTTTTTTTCTGATTCTTACACTTGACTATGTTTTGTAATTTTCTTTGTAACGACACAAAGTATTTCTAACGCTTATAATTATCGTTTTTTCTCGTTCTGTCAAACAACCATCTATAAAGCCGCTCTTCCTTACGTTTATATTTTAATATCGTCGTTGATTGCTCTTACTAAAAATCGCACATGATTAAGAAAACCAACGAGCCAAGACGGATAGATAAGCCATGAAAAGAAAAGAGAAAAATAATGCCGTTTTTATCGATTTTTTCGCAAGGAAAAATAACCCAAGTTTCAGATACAATCAAAATCATTATTTTTTTTTTTTTTAAGATAGAATTAATTATCTTAGACTTTTTAAATATCTATATTTCTGATGACTTGTTCATCAATGTTATTCTTTTTTATGATCAAAATCATCTATAATTCTATAGTTAATTTTATTCTAAACACTATTAACTTACATTTGCTTATCTAACTGTTTCATAAAAAGCAAATGTGAGTATAATAGATTGCAAAGGATCTATTTTAGTATAAAATGAATATCAATTTTATTTTGCATTTGCCGACGTTTTAGTATTATATAAAAGTTAAAGATAAAAAATGTTAATTATCTCAAAATATAATATGATTAATTATTGAAGAAAATAACTCTAATTTATTGTTTCATTCATTTTTGTACCAGCTTCAGAAATTAAAATATAAAATTATTCATTATTTAAATAATATATAGACTCATTTTGATATTTGTTTAAAACGTGTTATTATTACTGAGTCAAAATTAGTTATATCTTCTTGTTTGATCAATTTTCTTGATTGATATAATATGAAATTTTAGGTTCATTGTTTGAATAAAATATGAATATATGAAAATGGATTAAAATCAGGTCTATTTATGTATTTTCTTTACAATATAAATTATGCCATATCTGACGATGACATTCGAGTAAAGAACGTTGAAATATCACAAAAGGAAAATATAAAAAAATATATATAACATCATTCACACATAGCTGCACCAACATATATTCATATTTCATTGATTGATTCTGGATTTGGTGTATATTATTTCAAGAATTGAACATAATCGATTTTTTCGGTTCTCAATTAAACAATTACAATAAATGTTATAAATAGTCACGATTGAAAAAAACGATGAAATGAAATGAGTTATTTAATTATATTTTATTTATAAAATCTGAAGGGTGTGGGTGTCCGCTGAGAGTAGAGATATCCACACTCACGCCCTCACTCCGAAATCGAACAACGAAGAGTTCGAAAGAAACGTATTTCTCTTTCTACATCGCACAATCGTGAATAACACAAGAAAAAATTAGAACATGAAGAACTAAATGACTCATGATATCTTTGTACGGATCATCATTGATTAATACTTGAGAAAAACTATTATATTTTCTACGATATATATTTAATAAATAGATTAGTGCATATATTACAACGTAGAAGAAATGAATTTTATTCCTCTGGAAATTATATAGGGTGTGGATTCGCATCTGAATACTCTGTTTTTTTACGGTCATTCACATCCCTGACTAATATTTAATTGTCACGTCATTAGCAGTAATACAATGTCATTTCTATGTTTGATTAATATAAATAGATTAAGATCAATAAATTATTTAAAGTTTATAAATACTTGAAAAAGAATTTTTTGTATCAATATATTTTTATTTTTCATCTCTTACAATTATATGTCTTTCTTCGACGCCTAGGTTACAATGAGTTGGCATTGCTTCATCCTGTTTTTATGAGTCATTTGTCGTCGTCAACATTTTATGACTCAATTTACATCATTGCCTTCTATTTCTTTCTATTTTTTTACAATAGTCATATATAAAATACTTTCTATTATATCACATTTACATTTTTTTTCTCATTCTCTCACAAACACATACTTCTTTTGCAATACTATTATGACTATTCGTGTTGTATCATATAATATTCTAGTGCCGATATTTGCTGAACAACCAGAGTATTATGCCAAATGTCAACCGCAATATCTCAAAACTGATTATCGATGGAATTTAATTCAATTACAATTAGAACAAGAGATTATTAATCATGAAAACACAATCATTTGCTTACAAGAACTTTCTCTTCCATTGTTAACAAAATTCGAATTATTTTTTCGTCGATTAAATTACACATTTTTTCATAATCTTTATGGTCGCCAACATGATGATTATATGGGTGTAGGTATTGCTATTCCTATGTCAATACCTATGAAAGATATTTCGATAATTAAAGTTGGAGATTATATACAAAAAATATGTAAATCTCGTGAACAAACATCCAGTTTATATTCACGGATATGGAATTGGTATGACTCGATCATAGGCAAAACTATTTATTTATCTGATCCATGGCATACTGCCATGCACAACGCTAATGCACTCATTTGTTTACAAATTGTTATTGGTGGTAAATCATTATGTATTGGGACATATCACATGCCATGCCTTTTTAAATTACCTGATGTTATGGCAATTCATGCTTCAATTGTGAAAGATTTAATGTATGAACAGGCAGCTGGACAAGATTTTATTTTAGCTGGTGATTTTAATACCAAACCACGAGATCTGTCCTATAAAGTTTTAACACAAAAAAATTATAATGATTACAATTTTCCAAGATCTAATATGTATGAAATCTCTTATCAACCTAATATTGAACAAGTATTAAAGAGTGCCTATCGTGAGAAGAACGGAACTGAACCTATTTATACAAATTTTGCTGATACACCAAAAGCATCAAAATTTTGTGAAACACTTGATTATATTTTCTTCACAGGTCATCTTACGGTCGAAAATGTTTTAGAATTACCAGATCATTTTGAGAGTCAATCGTATCCTGATGAAACACATCCCTCAGATCATTTGATGATTGCAGCAACATTTCGATTATCTTAATTTCACAAAAAAACTATTAGCGTTCTTAAATATTATTAATAAAACAATTATGTTATTTTAAATGTAAAGAAAAATAAAAAAACTTCGTTCTATTAATATTTATATAGAAACAATGTGTTTTTCTTTTTATCAAGAATATTGAATTTCGAAATACATGTTAATTAATAATAGTAGTATCTGAAATTAGAAAAGATTATTATACAAGTCATGCAAATTTCAACAAATCTAAGTGAGTGAATATTCCAATATTTAAAAAAAATTTTCTCAAAGTGTAGAGTATAAAACTAGATGTAGCATTGGAAATATTCTAAACTATAAGATTATCGTTGGAGAATGATTTTATTATAACAAGTAATAAATGTAAAGATCTTTTTCCATTTAAAAAATCAAATAAAAATAGTCGTGAATTCTTGAAAATGGCGTAATTTTTTAAAGTGCAACAAATCTTATTAGAAAATCTAGTCAGATATTCAAGTATTTTATGAAAAAAAAAGTTAATATTTTAATTCATTTAATCGACGTCGATGAAAATCTTTATAGATGACTGGCAATGATTTATGTTCGTTATTCTCATCGAAATTATTTGTAATATAGTTATCTAATGGTGAAATTATACTCTCAGCATGCGGATTGTTGAACATTACAATACCATAACGATATCCAGATTTCTCATGTCGAACACGATGTGGAACTGAATACCATAAACCATTTGTCACTCGTTCTAATGCATCACCAATATGGCATAGAAATGTATTTTCACGTGCTGGCACATCTACCCAAATATCACTTCCACGTGGTTTGATCTGTAAACCACCAGTTGAATCTAATAAGTTAATAGCTAAAAAACCAACATCTGTATGTTCTGGACATTTACCACCTGATGGATATCTAAGAAGTAATACAGTTGGTTCTCGATGAAATGTTTCTTCCAAAAAATTCTTCTCTTTTCCTAATGCCAATGAAAAGGCTTGATATAATAATTTTCCAGTCGATGACATTAATTTAAAATGAGTTTCAATCGCATGTTTCCATCCTGGAAGTTCTTCTTCTTCAAGCCATTGATTCTTCGCATAACTATCACTATTTTCATCACCTATATATACCCATTCACGTAGTTCATTCGATTCTACATCTTCAGTAAATGCATATCCGCGATGATCACGATTGATTTTCCCCGATATTTTATTTTTTATATCAATGGGTAATTCAAAAAATCGTAACAATTGTTGTAATGCTTCATAATCGTTTTCAAAAGTTGGTAGTGTTGAGTTTGTTACATAGAATGCACCTATAGTTTGACAAGCATTTGCTATTTTATTAACTATATCATCACTCTGTGAACTACAAAATGACAATAAATCAATTGTTGGAATGTCCATTTTAAATATCTTGTTGTAATGAAATATTTCTAAAGTAAAAGTAAATTGATATATTATAGCGTACATTACGTATCAAGAAATATGACAAGTAGTACTAAGTATAAACTATAACGCACACTTGAAAAGTGATATGTTTTCGAGTGTCAGTTAGTTTACGAATGATTTTTAGTTGTACTTAACTTCTCTATGAAGTGAGAAAGAGATAAGACTTTAGTTTAAAATATAATTAAGATAAATCGAAGCGAAGAATCGAATTACATTTCGTTAACAACGCACACTTTCTCATGAAAAAAACATCACAATATTGCGTTTAGTTATCTATCGACCTTTTATGAAGATGCAATTACATTTTATTTTTCGTTGTTTTTCATACATTATTCAATAGAACTTGAGCTGCTGATCACGATTATCATCTTTTAAGCTTTAGCAAATACTTTATTCGGCCAAAAGAATACAAAAAACTTAAGGAAACTCGTTTTTTCAGCTTCTAAAAACAATTTTTACAGATTCACCATCAATTGTTAAATGTAAAAACGTTCTTAAATCGACTCTAGACTCACAACTCAGTTAGTGGTAGTACTTCTAACTGCATCGAGTCTACTACGTATAGATCGATTTTGTAAACTTATTTAATTTTTTCTCTGTTCCTTTCTGTGTTGACAGGATAAAGAGGAAGATGATTTCTAAATAAAATGACTATTCTTCATTAAAATCGAGTCAAAATTTGTCCACAAAAGTAAAACTTGATCACAAATCGGTAAGGAGGGTGTGAGACATTAGTGTAGTGTCTTCCTGATATTTCTATATATGAAATATTCAATGAGTAGGCTAGTTCACACGAGAAAGGTCAATGAATAAATAAAATACTGAATTTCATCTCTGTGTTTTATACCTTAGCCTTTTTACAATGAACTACTTTCTCAATTGTTATTAACTAACAAGTTTTTTATATTATCATTTCCATGGGTTGATCGATTCTCTGGTGCAATCGTTTCACATTATTAAAAGATTCTTATATAAAAATCGTGAGAGTGGGTGATTCAACAAAAAGAAAAATAATCAATTTTGAATACATTTATTAAATCAAAGAATTTCTTTTGAAAATGAAAAATCGAAAAAATCTTTGACAAAACAAAAATTATGAAAAACAAAACAAAATAAACTGAATAAAATATTATTTTAATGAATTAGTTTATTTCTTATTTAAACAAGATATATTCACTAGATATCAATTAAAAACTTTTGCACTCGACCATTCATATGGTCAGCAACATAAAGATTTTCTTCAGCATCAAATGATAAACCGGCGGGACGATCCAGTTGATCTGATTTACTTCCTTTTCCATTTCCACCAACAACAATTTCACCTTCTTCATTCCCTTCACACCAACGCATTACTCGATCATTTTCAGAATCTGCTACATAGATTTGACCTAAGTGATCAACGATCACTCCACTAGGGCCAGACAATTGTTTAAGACTATTTCCGTTTCCATTTCCACCAGCCACAACTAATCCTTCTTTTGCATCTTTTTTCCATTTCATCACACGATGATTCTGAGAATCTGATATATAAAGAGAAAAATCTTCATCAATAAAGATAAAAGTAGGTGTATTGAGTTGATTCAGATCATATCCGTTTCCATTGCCGCCAGCAACTATTCTTCCATTGTCATCTCCTTCTTTCCATAGTCTCACTTCATTGTTCGAAACATCAGAAACATATATGAATCCATTTCTATCTATTGCCAGACAATAACAGTCAATATCAGAAATAAGAATTTGTTGTTGTTTTATTTGATTTTGGTGAAACCATCGTATGACTCGTTGGTTTTCTCGATCACAAATAATCAAAGAATTGTTTTGTTTGTCAAATACCACATCTACTGGGAACCTGAGCTGATCATTTTCACCTACAATGACGTGTCCATTCTCCGAATTAAATTTCCATCCAACAATACGATGATTAACATAATCAGCAATATAAATCGTTTTTTCATCATCAATAAAGATTCCTATAGGTGAAGCAAGTTGATTTAATTCGTTTCCTTGTTCATTTCCACCAGCCACAGTGATAGCATTTTGTTTCCATTTAAGATTCATCTTATCTATAATAGATGAAATTTATATTTTTAAATATCTTGTGAATGTGGATAAGAATGTTGCATCTATCATCCACTCACTTTTCATTGGTGGACATATGCTTTCATGAATCATTGTAGCCGGATAACAAAGTGGAAAATCCTCACATTGAGGATGTTGAACGCAAATCGTGTTCGGCTGAAGGCATGAATTATCTGAGGAATTGCACCGTACAAGACGAGAACAAGTTGGCCAGAGGAAACCACAAATGCCTATATCATCCTTAGCACCTATCATATGAAAACATCCACAAGCAATATTTGTGGAACATTCCCCATACTGAGGTGTTTTCTCACATATTTGAGATTTGGTTTGAACTATGAAAGTGATAGACTAACACATATAAACATATAAAATAAAAATTGAAATCAAACCTATTATGCTAAAATATGAAACGAACGAATGCTAATAAAATTAGTGATAACAATCAATAATTATTTACCTGAGAATAATGAAAACGGCGTAGCAGTAGATATTGATTATAGTCATAGTTGATTTTAGAATAAGAGAATATGATGAAAAAACGTGTGTTTTTATTTCTAAAACATAGATAATATAACAGATGCATCTATTCACATATGAATAATTGGAAATTTGATACTCTCTCTATTGCTTCTAATCGTTTTGATTCTACCCTATGAAATATACAATAAAAATGGGATTAACAAACGATTAAATCATCATGTGATAAAATTAAGATTCAACTGGTGTATATTTTCAAGCAGTAAAATATTGTTTTTATATAGTTTAAATACGAAAGATATCAATAATACTAGGCGTGAGCAGTTTAAAGGTTTGTATACGTCAACTATAAAATTTACTTTTTTTCACTAACATAAAAGTGATGATTGCCAGCAATATTATCAAAGATATAGCTCTAAGAGTTTCATTGTCCTTCAGTCTAAGAATAAAAGAATCAGAATTCGATGAGCGTTCCAGTCATCAATTAAACGTACTATTTCAACGAACAAATGTTGAAGAAAACTACATAAAAAAATGTCAAATTCAATAATTAATTTGCAATTAAGTTTTATGCAACATTCTGTATATTAAAATAGATATAAATTTAGAAAATTGTGAATACTCTATATTTTTTCTGAAATTATCCGTATTTGATCTAAATAGATGAAAAATTAAGTCGTAACAGTATTTGAACGTATGTCAATAGATTTTTTCTACATTGTTAATGCTGGCAAATAATTTTTTAAGAAGAAATACATTAATGTAATATTATCGTAGAGTATAGATAGTTCAGGCACAAAACGATCAGTTGGTGATAGAATTATTTTGCTTCTAACAGCTTATTCAATACATCAAAATAATCACCTTCGTTCATAAAACGTCTATCCATTTTATGCAATAAATGAACACGATTCTATGGCGTTGAATTAAGTCCAACGTTTACGTCATCTGGATGTTGTGGATATATATTATGTACTTGATTTTCACATGTAATAGCAATATCTTGAGGGTGGGTGTGGGTGATAGATGAAATGGATACCCGCACCTACACGCACTACACCCTTTCAACAGTTGTCTGCCTATGAAGTACGAATACTGCTTAGTTGCATGTTTGCTCTATTACCAAACCTCAGAATGTATCACGAAACTGTGAAAGGTTCCGTAGAAAATATATGAAACTATCGATCGTTTCGCGAAATATCCACAGGTTTTGAAGAGTTTCGTTAACAAAATAGGAAACCTTATAAAATCTGTGGAAACTAAATATGTTCGAAACAGAAATACGGAAATCAATTTTGTTACATCGAACCAAAAACAGTTTAGCACAAAGCTACAAAACACTAAAAGATTACTAAAACACACTTTTTTTTCTCTAGTGCAGTCTTTGTTCAAGTAATTATTAATAGTTAATACAACTCAGCACTACTTAGTTCGTTAAAATATTCATCAAATCCATCAGTGACTAACATTCTTTCATTTGTTAATATGGATGCTGAGTGTAAATACCGTCCTTGATTTATGTTGTCGATTTTTGTCCATGTTTTTGTTAATGGATCATACAACTCAGCCGTGTTTAGTATGCTACTAGCACTATAAAGTCCTGCAGTAACTAACACTGTTCCATTTCCTAATACAGAAGCTGTGTGGTAATATCGTGCTTCACTCATGCTCGTGGTCATTGTCCAAGTTTCTGTTGATGGATCATATAATTCAACGCTATTTAGTGGACCGTTACTGACTCCTCCGGCAACTAATACGTTTCCATTTGTTAAAACGGATGATGTGTGGTAAAACCGTATTTCGTTCATGCTACCAGTCATTTCCCAAATTCCCGTCGATGGATCATATAACTCAGCACTATTTAGTCTACTCATGACATCATAAAATCCTCCAGCAACTAATACTTTTCCATTATTTAATACAGATGCTGTATGACTGTAACGTGCTTGATTCAAATTGCCAGTCGTTGTCCATGTACCTGTTGATGGATCATACAACTCACTACTATTTAAAGCACCCTCATTCCATCCACCAATAACTAACACTTTTCCATTTGTTAGTATAGATGCTGTGTGACCATCTCGTCCTTGATTCATATTACTAGTCATTGTCCAACTTTCTGTTGATGGATCATACAGATCAACGATATTTGGCCTGCTTCTACTCCCATTAAATCCACCAACAACTAACACTTTTCCATCTGCTAATACAGATGCTGTGTGATCAACTCTTGCTTGATGCATGCTATCAGTCGTTGTCCAAGTTTCTGTTGATGGGTTATACAACTCAGCACTATTTAGTACGCTACCATTAGAACCACCAGCAACCAACACTTTTCCATTTTTTAGTACGGATGCTGTGTGACTTTGTCGTGCTTGATTCATGTTACTAGTGTTAGACCATCCTACAAAGAGTCGTTAGAAAACATTATTCTGGAAAAAATGAATATTCTTTTTATCCACCCACATCTTAAAAGTTCAAGTGGTGTGTTTCAAGAAAACCCTCACTATATCCTCCACTATCTGAATTGAACTGCAACAGATTCTGTAGTTAAAAGTACTAGATATATAATTACAGCTCACTTTTTTCTTTTACCTGTTAGAGGTGGACAAATTTCGTGATAAATCATCGATAATGGATAACAAACAGGATATAAAAAGCATTGAGGATGACGAACGCAAATATGATTAGATTCATAACAAGCATTATTTCCAGATCTGCATGGAATCAGCTCAGAACAGGATCCATTGAAATTACCGCAAATGACAGTATCAGTACCGTCTGCCATAGAAAGACAGCTGCATGCAGAATTTGTCGAACACCAATCATTTTGTGAAGTCTTGTGGCATATTCTTGACTTCACTCCAACTATCACCGCACTAAATTAACAGCAGAACATGTAACATGAAATATTGTTTCACGTTGAAGGAGTAGAAAAATAAAAAAATATTAAAATTACCCGAAAAGAATGAATACGAAGTAAGTAATTATCTTTGTCTCCATAGCTTGCGTTGAAATGAAACAGAATCACGACAACGTCCTTTTCTATGTCTAATGCGCAGGTAATGTTTTTCGCATCCTTGAAAAATCAAGAAGCGCACAATATAATCTTTCAATTATAGTCGCTGGCCCAGAATGACTGCTCACAACTGGGAATATAGTCGAATTAATAGAACTAGATGTTTGAAAAGTCCTCAACACTTTTGTATTAGTGTGACGATTTCTGTTAGAAGTGTTAGTATTGATAATATCATACTTCATCACATTCTTCTTATCTAAAATCGTATTATTTTCATATAAAGCATATGCTTCTATATTCGTCCTTCATAGAGTATGAAAGAATATGAAAGAAGGAGATAACAAGGACAAAATAAGATGGAGATAAATAATGTTACAGCGCTTGCACTTTTATTCACTTCATCTGGTTTATATATTTATGGCATTTTTTTGTTTTTGATTTGTTGTTGCTTGTATTATAAAGATCTTGAATGTAAATATTGTTTGCAAGAGATAAAATAAAGATGAATACCTAAAACTTCAATTAGGAACTAATAATTCCATTTTTTTTATCGTCGCTAGTTCGAATAGATATGGGCGTGAATGATAAATCGAAAAATATTCAGATTTGCATTCCCTTCCGTCACTTAAAATAACCCCTTTTGTAGTAGATACTACATCAGATGTTACTCTTAGCAGCAATATAGTTCTTGGTTAGTTATTTTATTTTCCCCATACTCTAAAGATCATATTTATAAAAAAAAGTATAAAAATCTTCAATGAATCAAAGCGAGAAAAGTAAATAGTAGAAAAATCAATGAGGTTAAGGAAATTCCATATTGCAAGAAGGCGAACTACTTGATCATTTCTGATTCAAAACAACGAAACAGTGGCAAAATAATACTTTCTAGACTTTTATGTAATTGTCTCGACCGATCATTGGGTACATTTGAATCTGCATTTGAGAGAAAAATTATTCCGATGGAATGTTGTTCATTAACCAACATCCAATGTCTACTACCGGGAACTGATCCACTATGACAAATATACCGGTGTCTATCGCTTAATGTTTGCCAATACCAACTGAGTCCAAAGTTTGTTTGTGGAATATCTGCAGTACTGAGTATATTATCTGGATCGTATAATGGAATAAGACCGTTGCCGACTACTAGTTTCATTTCAGCAATTGATCGAGAACTGAGTACAGTACTTCCATTATTTATAAACATTTGAAGAAATCGAGAAAGAGATTGAGCTGACATACGAAAGAGTCCAGCAGGATAAGCACTAAATCCAAAGAGTGGAATATTAAGCCAAGTTGGAAAATTATTCTAAATACAAACAATATAAATATGTTTTTTATAATATTCTACATATATCTACTGAAAATGGTGTCACATTTAACTGTGGCATTCCTTCAGTCCATGCATTAAGATGAGAAGCATTGAGAGCGTAAGCATAATGTTTGACAATATCTTCACGATTTGTAAAATCAGCTAGGCGAACTCCTACTTGAGTAATATCAATCTGAAGTGGTTTCATAATTTTTTCTTTGACATATTGATCAAAAGATACGTTCGTCATTCTTTCGACAACTAATGCAGCAAGAGACGAACCATAATTCGAATAGAAAGATACACTACCCGGTGGTTTCGGTAGCCAGCTCGATGTATAAGGGTTCACATTTTTAAATAAAATCTCTGCTAATGTTGCTTCTTCGAAACTAGCATCTCCTAATCGATATAAACCTAATTGTATGTTTTCATCGACAGCAATTGATGATGAATGTGAGAGTAATTTACGTAGAGTGATCGAATATGTTGGATAATTTGGATGAAAAATACGATGATCAGGTTCTAACAAATATTGATTAATATCTGTATCAAGATCCACAAGTTCTTGCTCAACAAGTTGCATCACTGCAGTAGCAATGAATGTTTTTGAAATTGAAGCCAGAGTAAAAATTGATCGTTCGATATCGATCCATTTCGGTGGTAAAAGTGAGTGATAACCAAAAGCTTCTTCGTAGAGAATATGCGTCGCATTGACGACAATAATTGCTGCGCCCGGAACATATGAATTATTCAAAGATTCCTCAATCCATTGTCGACTTGGGCAGTTCGAGCTCACACTCTTGTTAACAGTTAAGATGAACAAAAAAACGCATACATACAAGTAAGCCATGAAATCAATGCTCTCTAATAAAATCTAATCCTTTTTTCTATATTCTTTTATGTAGAACACATTCATACAGTGATGGCTTAACAGAAAGAGAATACAAAACATCAACATAATCTTTTCTATTTGAGACCTATTACTAATATCTATTGACAAAAATAACTAAAATGAAAATGTTACTATGTCGATGACACTTAATCTTTCACTTTGTATTACGAACATCAATAAGTTTTATTTAGAGAATCCAGTCCATCAAAATGAATTCTCATTGCAGATATTAACAGATCTAATTCTGTATTTTTCTTTTTTTAATATGCTTCTCCTTGTAATCATAAAACTATCACCATAAATAGAATTCAGAACATGACAAAAGTGCTATTTTTGTTGATTTTCATAATTATTATTTTAAAAGTGTGATGTTTGTTCATGGACTGTATGACACAAAATTTCATTGTCTATCTTTATCTCTTTGAGATGAAAGAACAAAGAGACACAGACATGTAAATTATTTTCTGAAGAATTTATACATGAATAATCATTTTCATGTTAGAAATTAATGCATTGATTATTTCATTTATTGTTACAACCAAATCGTTTGAAATAGCTTTTGATGATGATGATGTTCACCAAGAGATTCTAAAAAAAGATAATTAACTACCAAGGATCTGTCAGAATTTAGTTTTCTATTTATATCAAATTTTAGAAAGAAATATTTTCTTTAAATCTTTTAGAGAGTTAAACTATGAAAACAATAATGCAATCGATGCATGAGACAATCTAGATAATCTATAGAAAATCATTTCAACAAAAACAAATTCACTCCCACGGATTTTTTTTATTGTGTCGACATTTTTTTTAATTAGTTTCTTAATAAAAAATAACAATAGGAATATAATGTTAGCTTCGGGAACGATGGATAATTATTTTATCTATATATAACCTGTAAAAATTTTTTTTTTCTTTTTATCTAACACAATACTTTAATTACCATTTTAAAAACATAGAAACTGTAACGTCGTAGAGATGACATCCGCTGGTGTTGATGATATTAATTTCTATTATACAAGGATTACTGTTCTTGTATATAATATAGTTAGTTCTATACTCACAATCATAAGTAGCATAGGTGCCATTTTGTGCTGTATTGTATTTGCGCGAAAAAATCCTTCCATAGGATTGAGTGTGACGATTAAATTCTTGAATAAATTCGAATCTAAACTACTCAAAGGATATGTGTTGTCATCTTTTCCTACTTTTTGATGATTTCCAATATGTAAAGACTCGTGATTCACCCTCAAGATAATCCAATATTTTAGAATAACTAACGCCTCCCATTAACTACAGTTCTATTTAAATTTTAAATGTCTTTGCGAATTGGAACTAATTAATAAATGGATTGTTTTTAGTAATATATTGTACAAATATATTAAATAATTCGACATATTATATAATGTATATATCTATTAATAAACTTAGAAAAAAAAACAAAGTACTTGAAATAAGACTAAGGCAAAATGTCATCGAGATTTTTTAGTAAAATTTATAATTTGAATAAGAAATGTAATATATATTCGACATTAATTATCTTTTGATATGTTTATATCCTCCCTGCTATACTAGAAAGATTTACACAGTAGGATACCTAGCAAAAATTCCATTTCTTTTCTTTCCGCGCTTTCTCATCACTATCGTCATTCATGAGATAAATATAGTCGAAGAGTCTTATCACACTCCTCTTTTTAATTAATTCTCTTCTCTGATTCTTATAAACACAAGAATCCACTTTCCTTCATTGGTAAGTACGTCATAGTCTATGTTTCATATTTCTGTCGTGAGAATTATGATCCGTTTTGACGTATAATGTATAATCAAAACGTGTTGAATATTATCAAAGTAAAGATAAGGTAAAGAGATGCAAATGCTTGCATTTAAAAATCTTCGACTGGCGGCGCTTCAACACGTCAAACCTCAGATTGACAATTTTTTAATTAACTTTTCTGCATCAGTTTTTCTCAAAAAATGCCATACCGAATCTTCTCTTTTAATAATCATTTTCTTTCTCTTGTACACCTGTAAAGATAACGAGAATAATATGTTGGGTACAAAATTTCAGAAATGTAACTATAGTAATTCATCACATTTATTTCTTCTAGATTAAATCAGAGCAATCCGCACCTTATTCAACAAGAATATCTTGTAAAATGGGCAACAGTCCACCTTCTCTCGTCAGTCACATCGAACAAGCAACTGTCTATGTACAATCAGTGCATTTTGTTCTTGCTATCGTCACCAACACAATCAACATACGTGTGTTACATTCTCGTGCTCTTCGTTCATCATCGTGCACTCATTATTTTCTCGTCTATTCTATCTTCAGTATAATATACACGTGTATAGCGTGTCCAGTACAAATTTTCCGCAGCTTTCGTATGCCTTGGACGAATACTCCTGTGGGTTGCATAACGCAGCCTTATCTCACGTTCACACTGACCTTCTCAACAAATCTTATGCTTCTACTGGCTTCATTCAATCGTTTCTGTTCAAGTTCACCATCAGTCAGACTTCGCTCAATAATAAGCAATCGATGGGCTCATGTTACCAGTTTCATTGCCATTCTGTTTTACATTATCTATTTTTTGCCAGTATTTGCCATCTATCACTGGAATACAACTTTAAATGCATGCTCACAACAGTTGAATGCGGTCACCATCACTTATTTATCTGCTCCATTTGCTGTCTACTTCATTTTAACTCCTTTGCTTTTGGGACTTCTTGGGTTTTTGACGATTTCTAATATCAAAAAGCAATCGATGCGCGTAGCACCCATTACAACAACTGGCCATAGTCGTCGCACTGAAGGTCAATTAACTCGAATGTTACTTGTCCAAGTCGGAGCTCATGTTCTCCTAACGATTCCATTATGTGTCCCCTTCGTCTTAGTTACATTAGTACCATCCATGCGAACGGCATTAGTACAATCCATATATATAATTACTAGTCAATGGCAACAATCCACCTACTTTATTCCCTTTTTTACCTATATTCTATCGGGTAGCATCTATCGACAACAGCTAATTCTTCTTTTTCGATGGAAAAATAATCACCGTGGGGTATTACAATCTCGTAGGGACCCTACTAATACGAACAATACAGTGCCGATGAGGGCAACATGTGTTTAAACAACTATATTTATTATAAAATATCCTTCACTAAGACTTTCGGTGAAATATAATTTGTTGTTGATCGTACAAAGACTTAAAGGTGTGATTGTGACAGTTTGAATTAATTTCCTTGTCATTTACACTTTAATAATTAACTATTATGTTAACTCTACGACAACAGCAGACAAACTCAAAGATCATCACTTAAAGACAAATCATAAACAAAATCATTCATCTATTTTCCTACAAAACAACACAATATTTACGATTTTGTGACTCTTCTATTTCGTACTTTGTACCTACTGGATTTTAGGAATATGCTTTCAGTTCTATTGTTGTTGTGAAGCTTGAGTGTGATGAGTGTCTGCGCGGAAAAGCACAAATGAATTTAAGAAATAAATGAAAAAGAATTTCAACTCACTGAATTATGAAAGATAAATACATGAGATTAACGAGAAAGATAAATAAAAGGTACCGTATTGTTTCGTAATGCATTAGCTAGATGCTGTACTCCAGTAATTCCCACATGCTTGTTTCTGAGATTGAGCGTGTTAAATGTCTGTTAGAAAAAAATATAGGTATGTATACACAAGGTTGCAGAAAGCAAAGCGAAGCTTACAGCAGTAATCCGTAATTCATCTGCTAGTGTGAGTTAATCACCTCACCTTCATACTCTCAACGCTATTTAGAACTAGCAGAAATGACTGAATATAAGGCAAAGAGAATAGCTTCGAACGAAGCTTAACCATTTTCGTTGCAAATCACATTCAAGACAAATTAGTTCATTACTCATTAAACTTTTTAACAAAATCAGTTTTTAAACGTTCAGGTAAAATAAACGATGAAAGATGATAAATTACTTTGCTTCGCAATTAGTTTATTCACTCTTATGTGATTAAACTACATAAATAAAAAAATAATTTTGAGGGTGAAAAAACTAAACAATTGTGGTAAAATCAAGAGTTATTTGATACCATGACTAGCTATCTAAAATTTCATCGAGTATAGAATAGTCAAATCGCTTTGATGATCCAAAATTGAATAGACCATTTCTACTGGTATTGTCACAAGAGAAGTGATGATGTTTTTTGACATTGATGAAATGTGTGTTATGTTATTTTATATATTAGTGATGTGATGTGTTGCTACTTTACTTTTGTATGAAAACAACAATCATTGCTACGTGTTAGGGAATTCCTATGATGGTGTGACTACTTGTTTAAAAATAAAAATACAATAGAATGATGCAAAGAAATAGACATAAATAATTTGGTATAAGGATGTAGGTATTATATTCATCTCACACTCACACGTTCAACGTAAACATGTGACATGCTAATTCGAAACTGTAAATCCTTGAACTTTCCTTGTAAACTATTATTATCAATTGGATTATCATTTTGCTCGATTACATAAATTTATTAATAAGATAAAAAGCAAAGCAAGGTTAAATGTTATAAGCTGAATTATGAAGCGAATTTGAAAAGAAATATTAGTTTATATGAGTTTTTTCATTAAATGAATAATTGAACAAATGATAAGTAACATCCATGTGGGACGATTCATCATACAAGCATATGATGATTTAGTTGTTGTTGCTAAAAAACAAGATCAATTTTTCAGATTAATTCAATGTTATTTACAGATATTATCTTTCACTTACTGAATGCAGTTGTTGTTGATGTAGATTTAGATGTAGATGAAACAGTTGTTGTTGATGTAGATTTAGATGTAGATAAAATAGTTGATGTAGATTTAGATGTCGATGAAATATCTAAATAAACAAACCAATTATTCAACGTAAAATATAAGTTAATTATTTTCCACGTTTGAATTCATTCTCTATTCTTCTTAATGGTTTTTGTTGGACTACAGAGACGAAGTTCGTCTAAGTCTACCTCCTCCTTCTTCGTCGTATGATGTTATATATTCTCTTCATAAATAAAGCAATATACTACTATAACACTTACATCTAATCATCTCATTCAATCATTCTAAACTTACCGCACGATTCTTCCAAATATTTAAATTTTTGAATGCGATTGTTTAATACGTCGGTAACAAATATGTTTCCATAACTGTCGAAACTAAGACTAGACGGATTTGATAATTGATTAGATTGCGATCCTTCTCCATAGCATCCAACCAAACATCGAAAACCATTCAAACCTGAACCAACAATACGACTATTGTATTGATCCACAATGAATAAATATTTCTCAGCATCTAATATGATTGCACTTGGACAGCTAAGTGTAACTGTTGGATTTAGTGACGTACTTCCAGCTACTGTGATACCATTTAATTCTCCCGACTGAAATAACTGAACTCGATGATTTCGGCAATCTGCTACATATAAATCCAAATTCACATCAACAAAGATTCCAAAAGGACTATCAAGTTCATTCGAGGCTGATCCTCGAATACCTGTTCCAGCAGCAACATGATTTGAAGTCATGACAGAATCAGTCAATGATCTTTTCACTACTTGATGATAATTAGTCATTGAACAGTAAAGAGTATCATGGATATCAACAAACAAACCAAAACATATTGAGTTGACATTCATCACTGTGACAAAGGTATTTGTTTCTACCATCCATTTCTGTACTCGACCATTTTGATCACCATCATCAATATAAATATTACCATTTGATGTAACGAAGAGAGACAATGGCTGCGAAAAACTACCGGTAATGATCTTTGTTGGATTGACACTCTCTTCTTGCCATAATACAATTGTGTTATTTTCTCGGTTAGCTGCATAGATTGTATTGCTTGTGCTTACAAAAATGGCGTGAGGGTATTCACCAACAATAGATCGATTACCAAAAGTGATGCCATTGGAATTCCACAAGGCTGTTGGACAAAACTTCGGTTGATTAAATGAAAATCCTTAAAGAAAAAAAGTTTCTTTAATTTTGTTTCAAAAGACAAATTAAATTTGAAAAAGATATCATATAATGCCAGGCTGTGGTTGCGTGTGAGTGTGAATCACACTGCATCGATCACATCCACACCCACACCCACCCTTATTCAAGAATGAAAATGGAGTCCAGTGGGATGTCATAATTCTGTCTTGTTGATTTACAAAATAATACAAAATACTTACTGTAAGGATTAAGAGTAATGACATTTGGGCCAGATGTTAGAATGGAAAACTTTCCTGTTATATTGGGTGAAGATGTTGTCACCACTAATATGTATTTTATGCCAGTTTGAAGATAAGCAATTAACTTGAAATCTTGAGAACTACAGCTTCGATAATCCTGTGAGAGTAGATTCTCGAAAGGATTCATTGGATTAAAATCATCTTTATAAATATCACCAAATGTATCCATACTACTAGAACTACTCAGAGCATAGTATCCAGTTTCCACTACATGTATTTGTATAGTTTCATAATAATAATTTGATTTTCGACCATCACGGGAATATTTTGGACTATTTGTTGTCAACTCTGATGAATAGTTCGATTGTACAGCTGATGAATATGGTATTTGAATGACTGATGGAGAGCCTATGCAATAAAACCAACAAAGCAGTGAAGATTTATAGTACATATCGGTTGGCTCAAAGAAAGAGAAATCTTGCGCGTGTGAAAGTAAGACTGAACATTATGATTCATCTCTCTGACATCCTGAATATGGAAGAACAAGATGATTTCGAGTCTATATATTCAAAGAGACGGTTCTTTATAACGTCACTCTCAACGGAATGATTAAACTATAAATAAAGATTGAAAATAGACTCTATAAATATTTTTCTGTTCTCGAATACTCCATAATATGCAGTAGATGTGTTTCAAATAATTATTTTATTCCGAAAACTGGTAATGTCTCCATGTTTTAGATATGAAAAATAGTTTATTTATAGTCTAATTCTGTTACTGTTGTAATTATTTCAAACATTACAGTACCTAAGGATGTCTTTTAGATTTATACAAAGTAACAATATGCTTATATTTTTTTTTATCTATCATGAGCTGTACGTATATGTTCGCAGCTGTTTTTTGTTATAGAAATATAGAATGATTAGATATGTTGTAATAATTAGCAGTGTTTTCATGTCGTGGTAACAAGTAGCGACTGGTGTAGATTTGAATATTATGCACGTCAGATTAGGAATCATCTGTAACAAACCGGCTTTCTTTTTATAGTACAAATGTCATCTGACCGAACAAATTTTATTTGTGGATATGTCAAACTCAACTAAATACTCATGTTAACGCTGAGATATATTTACTTAATAGTTGTAGTACAAACACTTACTAATATTCTTGAGGGCGATATTGTCTGCACCAGTTATAAAGATCGAAAATGCACCTGTTTCATAAGGGCTTCGCGTTGTCACAATCAATATATATGTAACACCGGTTTCAAGAGCAACTGCCATTCTAAACTGACGTCCAAAGCAACTGTCATCATCGTATAAGAGTCGGTTTTCATATGGATTGGATGGATTGAAATAATCTTCGTAAATAGAACCGTATGTGTCCATATTGCTTCCATCGAAGAAAGTGTAAAAGCCACTTCTACGAACATTCACTTGTATCGCTTCATAGTAAGAACCTGAACTTGAACAACTAAGTGAATACCTTGAACTGTTCGTTGTCAATGCTGATGTATAAGTTGTTTGAACAAGTGGTAAAGTACTCACTAACAAAAAAGAAAATCGATTCAGTTTTGTATAATATGGAAATAAATGCAAGCAATTTGAAATATTACATTCGCTCTCAGATACATTTACCGAAAGCGACTGAAAGTGATATAAATCCTAGTCTCTATAAGATTGAGTTTATCTATATTTTTTACCCATGATGAATAAGTGTAGCTGATTATCCATTAAAATAGTATATATACTCACAAATACGATTGAAACCGATATAGTTTGGGCCAGATCCTTGAATTGAAAAGTGCCCCATTAAATTCTGAGTAGATGTTGTTATAACGACAACATATATCATATTAGTTTGAAGAATAACTGTGGATTGAAATTGATCTTGATTAGCAGAGTTACTACTATGGCTTATCAGATTTTTGAACATATCGAATGGATTGAAGTTGTTTGTGTAGATATAAGCATGCGTGGTTTTCATCTCGCTCTTGATTAGAAAAGTATAAGATCCAGCTATAGTGACGTTCATTTGTATCGCTTCATAATACCAATCTAACTGTGAACAATCTTGAAAATAAGTTGAACTATTTGGTGTCAACGATGATGAATACATTGATTTTATTAGTGATGAGTTATCTATTGAATGAAAAAAAATCATTAAGTATTTGCATTTACAATAAAGAAAAATATTCTTAGTTTACTTTTCACTCTGTTCACTAATAAGAGTTGAATCGTTTGTTTTAGAGCAATACTGTTATTCAAGAAATGAAGAAAAGCATGAAATAAAATATTTATTTAACGTCCTTACAATAAGTATCAATGTCAGCCCTTAAAATCCGCCTATTCTTTCTAAGACAGGTTGTAATAGTTAGACAGATATTTTATATCTACGAATTTGAAAACACATTGAACAACTATACAAAACAACTTTCTATTGACTACAAAGCAATTTGTGAAATTATTTTGTTTTCAAATATGGAATTCGGTGAGAGAAATTTTTCTTCACATCGATATTTACTTCAAAGTGTTTTTAGTTCGATAAATATTTGATGAGTTTCGATGCAAATTTTACTTCTCATGAGTGTCTTATGTTTCATAAAATCATTGTGTTCATTATTTTCTACAGTGAGCAGCGGTAAATGAGCGCGGATAATGATAAATCAAAGAAAATTTATAAAGAAAGTTCAACAAAAAAGGCCGAAGTCGTGTCTCACTTTCCTACTAAATACATAGATATTCTAACTTTCATCTGTATCATACAATTAGCATGACGATAATGTTATCGATTGACTTTTGTAAAGAATCATGAATAATCAACGTTCTTATTTTATAACATTAGTGTATTAGAATGAAACTTGAAATTTGAATTTAACTATTTAATAATTTAGTTCGAAATCCCTCAGGAGTTTCATTTTCATCTTCATCTTCTATGATAGTTCTTCTTTTTAATTCTCTGAATAAACATTGATTGGAATGATATTAGAGACTTTATCTGATCATTCTAAACTTACCACATGATTCTTCCAAATATTGAAATTTTTGAATTCGATGATTATATTGATCAGTAACAAATATGTTTCCAGCACGATCAAAACTAAAACTATATGGATTATACAATTGATTGGATTGTGAACCCATTCCATAACATCCAGCTAAACATCGAAAACCATTCACACCTGAACCGACAATGCGATGATTGAATTGATCCACAATGAATAAATATTTATCAGCATCTAATGTAATCCCCATTGGACAACTAAGTGTAACTGTTGGATTTAGCGATGTACTTCCAGCTACAGTGATACCATTTAATTCTCCCGACTGAAATAATTGAATTCGATTATTGTAACAATCTGCCACATATAAATCTAAATTCACATCGACAAAAATTCCACGGGGACCAGCAAGTTGATTCGAGTCTGATCCTTCAATACCTGTTCCAGCAGCAACAAGATTTGAAGTCACCACAGCATCATTTAATGATCTTTTCACTACTTGATGTCCATCATACAATGAACAGTAAAGATTATCATTCACATCGACAAACAAACCAGCACATCCTGTATTGACGTTCATCACTATGACAAAAGTATGTGTTTCTGCACTCCATTTCTGCACTAGACCATTCATAACACCATCATCAATAAAAATATCACCATTCGATGTCACGAAGAGAGATCGAGGTCCTGTAAAACTACCGTGAATGATCTTTGCTGAATTGACACCTTCTTCGTCCCACATTACAATTCTCTTATTTTCTCGATCGTCGACATAAATTGTGTTGTTTGTGCTCACAAAAATGGCGCGAGGATATTGACCAGCAATTGATCGATTAGCAATGGTAATTGCATCAGGATTCCAAGTGGCTGTTGGACAAAACTTAGGCTGATTGAATGAAAGAGCTAAAAATAAGAAAAATAGAAGAAAATGAAATTGTTCATTTAAATATTTGTAGAAGAAAAATAAAGTTTCTTCAAAGAAATTTTTCATGAAAAAGACATTTAGAAATGATTTCTATTAATTTTCCTTTTTTTTTTTTTTGTTAAAAAACCATCTGAAAGATCTGAATAAATTGTATCAAAAAACATAGTTAAATAAAGAAGTTTTAATTATCAAGCTTGTTTTTTTTTAAATAATTATGTAGATATGTCATTGTCAATCTTTTTTTTGAAATATCTATTCGAAGTTTCTGAAATTATCGATATTGAATGAAAAAGAAAAGAAAAATGAGAGAGAAAAATAAGATTTATTATGATCCTCAAAAATCCTTCTTTTCTCTCTATAGACATTCTTCCTACACATTCTCGCTCGAAGAGTTCCTATCTCATGAAATTTCAAAGGTTCATCAAAGATCACACATAATCTCATCTTTGTTCAACCTTAACAAAACAGATCTTTCTCTATAATTCTAATAATATTTTACAGATTTCAATATTTTTATTATGGAATAAAGAACAAAATCAGGAATGCTTTATTCTGAATTGGAAAGAAAGGATGTGGATGGGTATGCGTGACAGATAAATTAAGCTTTCACACCGACACTCATGTATGATGATAATTCATACAAGCATATGATGATTTAGTTGTTGTTGCTAAAAAACAAGGTCAATTTTTCAATTATTTAAAAAACTAAGTCATTTTTATCTCTTTGAAATATTATACTGATCAGAAAAATGAATATTCAAAGTTTTTCTAATTAATTCAATGTTATTTATCGATATTGTCTTTTACTTACCAAATGCAGTTGATGTAGATGAAGTATCTAAATAAACAAATTGATTATTCAACTTGAAATATAAGTTAATACTATCTTGAAGGTAAGTATGATATCCGCACTCATCCATATCTTCGAATCTACTCATACCTAATACTAATTCCAACATCCACAGATACATTGAAATACACATACTTCTTCTTTCTTTTCAATCTTTAGAACGAATCCGCTGAAGCATCGATGTTTACATATGTTTCTATCATTTTCATTATACCATCTTCAAGTACACAACGCATAGGATCGATTCATCTGTATCAGTTAGTCACTTGCCATTTTCGAACACAAAGCAATCTTATGAATGATGTATATAAACGACAGTAAATCACCTAGCTGATTGGAAAATTCAAGAGAGTACTCGCATTAAAAAAAGAAATATTAGCAAATATAATAAATTGTAACAGATTACTCTGAATTTCATTTGTCTAAAAAGAAACTCCATAGACATACCTATCATTTTAAAAACAACTAGTAGGTAAAACTCAATACATAATGAAACTAAATGCATTTATAGTTTTTTTATTATAGTATAAAACGAGTACTCACTAGTATATTCGAGAACGGCTTTCGTTGGTCCAGACACAATGATTGAAAATGCTCCTGTAACATTTGCATGTGATGTTGTTACAACTAATATGTATTTAGTATCGACGTCAAGATCGACTACGATTTGGAATTGATTATCAGAACATCCATTATCATCTACTTGGAGTAAGTTCTCAGCTGGATTTAATGGATTGAAACTATTCTTGTAAATATATCCGTATAAATCGGACAAACTCTTGCTTGAAATAATAAATAATCCAGATATGTCCACATTGATTTGTATACTTTCATAATAATAGTTTTCTTCTTCAGTGAAACGAGAAAAATGTTGACTATTCTCTGTCAGCACTGATGAGTATATCGATTGGATCACTTGTGGACTATCTAATCAATCAGAAGACTTAATATATTTATTTACATTCAAATAGTTTTTGAATATTGATTTTCTTTCCGATACATTTTCCTAAAGTCACTGTTTCATTATAAAGAACACATACTATTTTGGTGAACCAATAGAAAGAAATCATAAAAATTATATTATGCAGAATGCAAGAAAGATTAGTTAGTAATGTTTATTAATCAAAATTTTTTATTGAATTTAGAGATCAGATTAAGTATATAAATATTTCCTACAATTTATACTTTTGAAACTAGTTTTTACAAATGGTATCGATACTTACTTAGACGTTCAAGATCGACACGGTCAGGACCAGATATATAGATTGAGAATGCTCCTGTTTCAATTAAATTATATGTTGTTACAACCAATATATATTCAGTATTGATCTGTAGAGGAATACTAATATTGAATTGAGAATTACTAGAACTGCCATCATCTTTGGCGATTAAATTTATAGATGGAATGAATGGAAAAAAATCCTTTGCGTACATATAGCCGTATGTATTGATATTGCTGATACTATTAAAACTGTAATGACCATTTTTATAGACACGAATTTTTATGGCTTCATAGTACGAAAAATCACATCCAGTACGTGGATATATTGGATGACTTGATGTTAATACAGATGAGTAGAATGTTTCAACCACCGATGATGTGTCTATTTAATAAGAGTGTAAACTTTATTTATTATTATTTTTTGATTGATGTTATTTATGAAACAAAATAAATAAGAAGTTATTTCGCTTAAGCTATAATTGAAACTACTCAATAGGTTTCTTTGTATTCAATTTCAATGAACAACTTCAATCAATGTTACCATCGTTAGACATGTTGTAGAACGTTCATAACTCGAGAAAATATTCGTAAATCAACTAAAACTTTACTCATAGAATTTTTGTCACTCAAAATAATATATTAGTTTGTCGGATACTCCAAGTACACAGTTGCTCAAGATTGTATCTGTACATTATTTTAAATTAAAATAATCTCAGACATAATCTTTACATCAGTTGATTCGTATAGATTAAAAACTTTATGACAATTTTTTACTACTGAATCATTTTCTTCAGAAAATATTTATACGGATACATAGAGAAATGAATAATTTCAATAAATTTTCTTCTATATCAGAATATTTTTAGAAAAATAATCCTACTATGAAAAGATAGGACATTGTATTAAACAATTTCAATACTTACCACATGATTCTTCTAAATATTGAAATTTTTGAATTCGATTATTCCATTGATCAGTAACAAATATGTTTCTAGAATGATCGAAACTAAAACTAAATGGACCAGATAATTCATTGGATTGTGGACCCGTTCCATCACATCCAACTAAACATCGAAAACCATTTACGCCTGAACCAACAATGCGACTATTGCCAGAATCTAAAATGAATAAGTACTTCTCAGCATCTAATATAATTCCACTTGGAAAACGAAGTGTAATTGTTGGACTTTGTGATGTACTTCCAGCTACTGTGATACCATTTAATTCTCCCGACTGAAACAATTGAACTCGATGATTACCACAATCTGCTACATATAAATCCAAATTCACATCAACAAAGATTCCACGAGGATCTAGGAGTTGATTTGGATCTGATCCTTCAATACCTGTTCCAGCAGCAACAAGATTTGAAGTCACCACAGCATCGTTTAATGATCTTTTCACTACTTTGTGCTCATCATACAATGAACAGTAAAGATTATCATTCACATCGACAAACAAACCAGCACATTCTGAACTGACGTTCATCACTGTAGCAAAGGTTTCTGTTTCTGCACTCCATTTCTGCACTCGACCATTCTCCAGCCCATCATCAATATAAATATCACCATTTGATGTCACAAAGAGCGAATTGGGTCCTCTAAAATTACCGTGAATGATCTTTGCTGAATTGACACCTTCTTCGTTCCACATTACAATTGTGTTATTTTCTCGATTAGCGACATAGGTGATGTTATTTATACTCATAAAAATGGCGCGAGACCATTGACCAACAATCGATCGATTAGCAATGGTAATTGCATCAGGATTCCAAGTGGCTGTTGGACAAAACTTTGGCTGATTGAATGGAAGAGCTAAAAATAAGAAAAATAGAAAGAATATTAGAACTATATCGGCTAAGATATGAAAAGATTTTAATTCGATAAGAACTGTTTCATTGATAAAATGTTCTTTGAGACACATGAAACGAAACATCAAAGGCAAAACGACGAATATTATATGTTGTAAACAATTGACACTTTTCTTTAACTTACCAGAAGAATCTTTCATCAATAAAAATTTTTGAATTCGATGGTTAAATGTATCAGTAACAAACATGTTTCCATAACTGTCGAAACTCAAACTAAATGGACTATATAATTGATTGGATTGTGATCCTTGTCCATCACATCCAACTAAACATCGAAAACCATTTACGCCTGAACCAACAATGCGATGATTGCCAGAATCTAAAATGAATAAGTACTTCTCAGCGTCTAATACAATTCCACTTGGACATCTAAGTGTAATTGTTGGATTTAGTGATGTATTTCCAGCTACTGTGATACCATTTAATTGTCCCGACTGAAACAATTGAACTCGATGATTACCACAATCTGCCACATATAGATCCAAATTTACATCAACAAAAATTCCAAGAGGAGTACTGATTTGGTCCACGGCTGATCCGTAAATACCTGTTCCAGCAGCGACAAGATTTGAAGCCATCATAGAATTACTTAATGATCTTTTCACTACTTGGTCACGAAGATACATTGAACAGTAAATAGTATCATTGGTATCAACAAACAAACTAGCACATGATGAGTTGACATTCATCGCTGTAACAAAGTTATTTGTTTCTTCGATCCATTTCTGCACTCGACCATTCACCTCCCCATCATCAATATAAATATCACCATTCGATGTCACGAAGAGAGAGAGAGATTTCGTAAAACTACCGTGAATGATCTTTGTTGGATTGACACTCTCTTCTTGCCATATTACAGTTGCGTTATTTTGTTGATTAAAGACATAAATTGTGTTGTTTGTGTTCACAAAAATACCGAAAGGAGTTTCACCAACAACCGATTGATTAGCAATGGTAATTGCATCAGGATTCCAAGTGGCTGTTGGACGAAACTTCGGCTGATTAAATGAAGATGCTTAAAGAAAAACTGAATTTCAAAAAATATTATATGATTTTCGGAAAGATTTAATATTCAAAATACTGAGAATGGGCATGTTTTCTCGTACCCCACATCCTCAAGATCTCAACTCAGTATAAAGTTATTTTTTTTTAATAAATGTTCGGTTGTTTTGGACACAAAATTTGGAATAAAATATAAATACAAAAGATGATTTGTAAACAATAATGATTACCCGATATTTGATTGATCGTAACCGAAAAAATCAACACAAGAACAATAACATTAATTTTTGTTATCATATTGTAAAAACAATTTTTGTTTTATGCTCACAAATAAGAACGATTTGGTTAGACTTTTATAATTCGCTAGAAAGTCAATATTATTGTTAGATAAAAACAAGTGAAATTAAATCTTTATTTTTTTTTCTTTCTTTTCTTATTATCAACAAATATTATATAGAAGAAAAGCATAAAAATCAATATTTTATCATATCACTTTACACTGGTTGTTAATAAATAAAGAGAATTATTATTTCGTATGTACTTTTATTTCGAAAAGAATACAACATATTAAGGTTCTATAGAATATGTATTGTTTCCAGTTCAAATGAAGTGTAATGATCTAATTCGAATGACAATCAGTATATAACATTGAAATTAATTATTAGAAAAAAAAAATCAAACAGAATTTTAATACCACCCTGATTATGAAAGATTCTTCACAATTAAATCAAATTCTTTAATAATAAATCTTAGTAAGCGATATGATAAAAAAAATTTCTAGAACCATCTTGACTGTTGTATTCATCCATTATTCATCTATTTACGACTATATTCGCCTACAGTCCCTGAAGAACGAGAAGCCTATTTAATCCCCCTTGAAATATATACTGAAAAGGAGAGAAGATCAAATAACTAAAATAAATATAAAAAGAAAAGTGATATCTACTAATCTATATGTGAATAATGAAAGGTGTTTTTTTTTTACAGAACATCGCCTCATTTTGAATATGCAATTGTGAAATATATAATAAGATCATAAAATACGGTTTCTTCTCATTAGAAATAAATTTTATATACACTTTTTTTTTTTTGACATACGATTAACGCCTACCGATGTCTATAATGAATTTATTTATTTATTAATTGACAAACACCTTCTCTTTTATATAGTTTGTCAATAATAGCTCATATTACTTTTTTGTTGATAATTTTTAATATATTTTTTATTTGACATAAAAATACGATCTCATTACAGAAGCAGCTACCAAGAAATCCATGTTTGATATGCACTTAAAAGAACAAGAATTAAACTATAATATACTTAGATATACATTCTCATCGCACATTTGCATTTCATCGAGTGAAATGATTTGTTTTTTAATTAATCTTTATTTGAATTCAAATGAGTCGTATTTAGATGAATGATAAATCACAAAATAGAAGAGAAAAAAAAGAATGATTGTTTCTCATAATTGAGTTTCTGCAATTATGATGATGAATTTGAAGAATCGATTTGAAATTTTAATATTCGATGATTGTTATGATCGGCGACATAGAGATGACCCTGTCGATCGAATAATAAACCAATGGGATAACTGAGTTGATTTGGTTGTTCTCCTTCACCATTTCCACCAACTACGATACTACCCTCTACAGCTCCTTTGGACCAACGTATTATTCGGTTGTTCCAAGAGTCAGCCACATAGACAGTGCCCAATTGATCAACGACCATTCCATAGGGATATTTTAATTGCGTAAGATCATTTCCTTTACCTCGACCACCAGCAACGATAATACCTTCTTGTGCACCCTCCTTCCACATCATCACACGATGATTGTCTTTGTCCGATATGTAGATTGAATGATTTCGATCGACAAATATGTAAGTAGGACCATTGAGCTGATTGAGACCATTACCATCGCCATGACCACCTGCCACTACTGTTCCTTGAATGTCTCCTTGTTTCCATCGTTTAACTTCATTTTTTTGAAAGTCAGCGACGTAAAGATTTCTACTTTCATCTATCGCCAAACCACCAAAGCATTCAATATCCGAAATGATTATTTCTCCCTCTGTGCCATCTCGACGAGGCCATCGTACCACTCGACGGTTGCCCCAATCGCAAATAATCAGATTATCTGTATCAATAATGACATTTCTTGGGAAATCCAATTGATCCTTTCGATTTCCTTTTCCATTTCCGCCGGCAACAACTCGACCACTTAATGTACTATAATTCCATTCTAAAATACGATGATTGTCACTGTCAGCGATATATATAGTTTGATGATTTTCATCCACAGAAAACCCGTGTGGAGCCCAGAGTTGATTCAATCCATTGCCAAATCCATGTCCTCCCGCCACGGTAATACCATTCTGTATCCATTTTGCATTAACTTCAATGTTATTGATTTCAGTAGTATTACGTAATGGTACTAAATTAAGTTAGAAATAATAAAAATAAATGAAGTTTAGAAAAAAAGTTGTTTGCAGATGTGAATGATCGTAACAAGACTAACGAAGTATCTTCTTATCCTTATACTCTATATACTTGTACAAATAACCTCTCAAATTTCACTTTTATACAATTACTTTCGAGTTGCCATACTCTATCCTTGAGTTTCTGATTTTCGTTTCGAAGTCCTTCACAGCAATTTTTGATTGTATGACTTCCGTTTCGGAATACTTCAACACATCCTTTGAGTTCATTAATTTCGTTTCGAAGTGTTTCGCAACATTCTTTAAGTACACGAGTTTCGTTTTGAAGCGCCTCATAGCAGCTTCTGAGTGCATGAATATCTTCCTCATTCACTTGATGTTCAACGTCCATTTCTTGATTGGTTGCCATTATATTCACCAAAGATAATATCTAAAAAAGAAAGCAAAGTGGGACTAATGAAAAGAGTAAAATGATATCCTTTATAAACGATCTGCTGTAAGGAAATTCCATGTAAAAAAAATAATTATGATTATATATATATCGGAGTGTAGAATGACGTGTGTTAAAATAAGAGTGTATATAGTTGTTAACCAAAATTGAAACTCATTGCTGGTTCAGTTTTCGTTATCTACTGATTCTCATGTGGGTGTTATATATCGTCTGCATATTCCCATACATATCTACCCCCACACTCTTTAATACTGACTTATTACCTTCCACTTCCTTTTTATACAGACATGTCGGATTTATATTAATTTCGAATCAGTTCATACTTGGAAATATACAGGTGACTATATCGCAAATCGATGCTAATGTAAAAAAAACCGATTGTAAATATTATACAAAATGTCACAATGGCGATGGTTCGAAATCTAAAAACAATTAACTATTCTGTTTCTTCTCATTACTATTCATATTCCTGTGTCAAATAATGTGTTCAGATCAAAATTTTAATCTGAATGAAATTTTATTCTGTACTCCGATATATGTATTATTAATAAAAGGTTTATATTAATTCAACGAAAAAAAATTGGTATTGATTACTTGTGTAGAGTTTGATATCAGTGAGGTATTACACTTATTTCGCAATAAATCTGATATTTTCAATCCAAAAAAACACCGTCCATTAAGAAGATATTCCTTGCTTACTTCGATTTTTGCGTCTGCTTGTCTACAACCACAGTTCGTTAGTCAAATGATTACTTTTGCCTACTTTATGTTGGAAAAAAATAATATATACATTTATGTACATTAATAAATTGAAAACAGTTTCTTTTTCTTTCCTTTGATTTTCATTCGAAAAGGAAAATAAATATGATTTTTATGATTCATCAAATATATATTAAAAGCAATCAAAAAGGGGTGGTAGTGACACATTATGTTCTTACAAAAATCTTGCAGAAATTTCATTTATGTAATGATATAGAAAATAATTCTTTAATCTTCATTTCATATTGAAAAAAAGATAAATTAAATAAGAGAGCATGGGTTCATTCATGAGATGTCTAATTCGACTTATAATATAAATGAACATTTAGAGAATTATTCTTATTTCGAAAATAAATAATAAAACAAAGTATTAATTTATATCATTCATATAAAAATATCTATCAATGATAAATGAATTTCAAAAAACTTTTCTTGTTTTTCTTTTCCACCCTACAGTAAAGTATTCATTTAATACAATTATATAAATGAGTAATCGATAAAAGAAAAATTTTTTGTTTTTGCTTTTTCTAACCTACAGTAAATTGTTCACTTAATACAATTAATTTAAACGAGTAATCGATAAAAGAAAAAATTTCTGTTTTGCTTTTCCTAACCTACGCACTATAACAAAATGGGTATTTGTTACTATCGGAAACTCTTTTAGGGTTTCCGAGCGATTCGGAAATGTTTCTTGTAGTTTCTAAGTTATTCGGAAACCATAAAAGAGCTTCCGACAGTAACAAATATCCATTTTTTATAGTGCAGTAAAGTGTTCATACGTCACATTTATATAAATGAGAAATCGATAAAATAATTTTTATAGGTATGAAGTGCGCTGATGATTTTTTTTCTTCATTTCATTTATATTATGAATGGAATTAGGCAAGTAATTACATCAACGATTTTTTTCTATCATGTTGTTTTTTGATCAGTAATATTACTCGTTTACTAGTTAATAAAGTTCGCTCAATACAACTAAACAAGAGATAAGCTTCTCAAGAAAAGTAAACTGATGCTCAGTAAGTCAGTAGTACTACTGCAGCGGATGATAGAAAGAGTTGATTTTTGTTATAATTAAATATTAACAAAGAACATTATTACTTTTATGGAACTTTTGGAACACTAAAACATCGTTGAAAAAAATATACTATTAACATGTTTAAAGATACTGAACACTCACTGAGAGCATCATTATTTATAAAAGACACTATTTTCTCTTTTCCTTCAATTCATATTCTAATAAACAGTTATTCCGATGGACGATAAATGGTATATAGTAATAGACAGTTTTGTTTTCTTCCCATAAAATCTAATTAGATCATCTTGAATCGAAAAAAAACTCAAAATTTAACTGAATACGTTTATTTCTACTGTTAATATTAAACTAAAATTCAATATAAATAAAAAAAGGTTAATAACGATTACTTACGTTTGCTTGTTCGATTTAACATTAGAAATAGACAGAATCAAATATCATAGAATTACTTCTTTATATTGTTGATAGATATATCATAGGTGTTTAATCATTTATTTTCATCCCCTAAAAAATACAATCATATTTTTTAGATACAGAATACAAATGTAAAATTTCTTCATAGATTTGAGAATCTTCTCTTCTTCCATTAAACTCAATTTAGACAAGTATGTTAATATATTTGTTGTTATTACTACGAGTAACTATTTAGTTTTCTATATCGTTGTATTGATGAAAAATGAAACTAACTTTCTCTACGCATTTTACTTTTCATTTTAGAAAAAAAATAGTTTTATCTTCGAAAATAAAGACTTTCAATACTTCTGTTCTCCGTCTGTAATAAGCATTTGATCAGGTAAGAAATATTTGATATTTATATTATTATTGTAATGCACATATAAAATAATTATTCACTACATTGTTTTATCTGAAATCATAGCAAATGTGGATCTTAGCAGAAATAATTAGTATTATTTTTTCATCAATAAAAAATCAAATATAAGCCTTCTTTGTAGTTAAATATAAATGAAATACAAGATAATAGTATATATTTTTGTCATTTTAACTAGTCAAATTGTTTTGTTTAATAATTAGTATTAAAAAAGTCTTCAAGATATCATGTAAACACAGATGTGTGACTTCATATACCTAAATTTACGAAGTTTTTCTTTCTCAACTATTCAATATGATGAAAATCTATAATGTTATTAAGTTAATAATAATTTTTTCTGGATATATTAATGACATGCACTGGCACTATTTATATTTGATATGTAAATACTACATATTTAAGTAATACGATAATTCATCTTTTGATATATGTTAATAAAACGGCAGAAATATCATATGTCGGATGTCTAAGGGAATGACTGGTATTCCCATTTAAGTGAAACCAATACTTTTCATTCTGCTCTTTACATATATCGACGACTTTCTTTAAACAATATATTACTTCTGACACTTAAGAAATTGTGGACAGACACGCGATTGTCCTAAAAATTCTCCGAGCTGACTACAGCAGATAATAAACAGAAGTAGATCAGAAATGTTATCCCTTTATGCACCTCCACTCAATGCAGAAAATTTGCACAACAAAACTATCAGATATGGATTAAATAAGAAATTAAACGAATGTAAAGCGCATACATTATCTTTTCATCACTTTTCTTATGTTTAACAAACTACAAAATAGTTTACTACGATATATAAATATTTCTAATCGTTAAATTCTTCTAGAATATTTTTCAACCAAACATGAATTACGTAGAAGAGATATATCTTACACCACCCAATCAGCATGAAACTGTACCAGTACCTGCTAATCATTGGGTTTCTGTAAAACATAATCGACGGTAAGTATTACATTTCTCCAACTAACCAATGATTTTAAATCCAAGTTCACAACCTATTTCATTTTAGAAGGAGAAAATGCTTGGGACTTTGCATTGGCTGCTGTGCATCCACCGGTATAGTTATGTTCCTTCTCGCCTTACTTATACCCATAATTGTCCCCTATGCAACATCAACAACCTCTACAACGTCGACAACAACAACCACCGCGACATCGACAACAACAACTTCAGCTACCTCAATAACAACAACATCAGCAACGTCGACCACAACGACGTCTGCAACGTCAACAACAGCAACTTCCACAACGTCAACAACAACAACCACTGAAACGTCAACAACAGCGACATCAACAACAACCACTTCCGTAACGTCCACAACGACAACTTCAACAACAACCACTTCATCAACGTCTACAACAACAGCTTCTACAACAACAACGTCTGAAACGTCGACCACAACAACCACTGCGACGTCGACAACCACGACGACTACAATGTGGACTTCTACAACTACTGCAACGTCAACATCAACAAGCTCTACAACGTCAATAACAACAACGACTTCTACAACGTCAAGGACAACAACGTCAACAACAATAACTACTGCGACCTCGACCTCCACCTCAACAAGCACCGCGACGTCAACAACAACAACTTCTGTAACGTCAACAACAGCAACCACTACAACGTCGACCACAACGACGTCAGAAACGTCAACAACAGCAAGCTCTACAACAGCAACAACAGCAACCACCACAACAACAACTACAGCGACGTCGACAACAACAACCTCAGCCACGTCAACAACAGCAACCACTAC